TTACATGCAGCAAGGATCTGGTACTTTACCATTCTGCCACTTGAAATGACAGCACAGTCTAGCTGTTTGAATTGCCTTTTTGGTTATTCCAACAGGATCCTTGGATTTATATGTTTCCAGCACTTTTCTTTTTCTTTGTTTTCGAAATTTAAATTATAGATTCCTCACTCGATCGAATGTATCTTCAATAAGAAAATGAATGTCACGTGATAGAGTTATCCCAATGGTTCATAAAGGATCAAAATTCATTGAATGATTGAATATATAGTTTGAACCCAGAATCAAATGAACAAATTTTATTTTATTTTTTTCTTTGAAGCCATCCATAAGGGTACGATCTACATCTTTTGTACAACATTTTAATATATAAAAGATGAAGTCCAATGTCGTATCTAAAACATAATAACATTTGTGTTCTGTTTAAAGAAAAATAAATTAGATCTCAACATGGGTTTTGACTCAATTGATAATTCTAATTAATTAATTAATTAATGAAATCACTTTATTCATTTAGCTCACCGTTGTAGTTTAAAAGAGTTTTAAAGAAAAGTTGAGGGTTTAACTTATTCATATTAATTAATCTTAATTAATTAATAACCCCTAAATGGTTCATAAAAGAAGATGGGTCCGAAGTGCCGTGTCAAAAAGGACATAAAGAAAAACAGCCAAAAACTAAAAATTGATGGGAGTTGTTATTTTCATTATCATCTACATGGCTTTGTTTGAATTAAGCAGCATGTGATCTCCCCCTTTCTGAGTACGGACACGACATTCATTTGCTAAAGGTTAAAGCAAATCAATGTAACGCTGGGACATTATTACAAATTCTTTTGATCTATATACGGTTAAATTTTTATGAATTAATAATAAAATTTTATTAATTAATTAAGATAATATTTAATCGATAAATTAATAATTTATTAATTTATACCTTAATTAATATAAAATTAATTTATCAATGTATTTTTTTAAAATATATATTAAACTTAATATATGTATTATGTACAATTTTCTCTTACCATCGAAAACATTATATTAGAGCTTTTTAAATTTTTTCAATTGAATCATATATATATATATATATATAATTTTAATATATAAAAATTTATTAATTTATATATACAATATACATTCAAAATTTCTTGATTGGATCCAATAATAATAATACACATGTAAAGCAGCACGTTCCAATCTAAAGAATTTGGTTTTCTTTCAATTCCCAATAAAAACGTTTTGCTAATTGGAACGTAGTTTGATGCTCACATGCGCGTACGTACAGACAAACAAAAATTGTTCGAGAGATGCGAGGTACAGCTGAATCCGATGGTGTTGGCAGGCAACAAACAGAGAGTGTTGAGAGAATTGAATCAGACAAAGAGCAAAAAGCTAAAGGGGATAGTGTTGTCTGATCTGGACGTCGACCGTAGACAAGACGTGGAACATATTTAAAACTATCATTAATTACAATTGTGGCCATTGCATGAGAGACCGACAATATTGTAGAAAGGAATATGATTTAACCAAATGTAAGATAGAAAAAAGAAGAAAAAAAAGTAGAAAGCTAATGCAATAATCCACCTAGGTAGTGTTACACTGAAGTTTGGAATATTGTGAGGTAGGAATCGGGCCACACCAAATTCATTGCCTACCGACTAGTCAAACCTGGAATTTGCTCTTGGATTCTGGAAGGCGGCTCCCATTGCTGATTTTGGGAGGTGGGTTAGGCTTCCACGTATCTGCATCATGTCACCGTTTAATCTTTCGTGCTTCCACACGTACCACATGTTGATAACGTGTCATCATTTGCTTTGCTTTACGGTAGCTTTACCGTTTGGTTACAAAAGAGAGGACTTTGTGCACATGCAGTGCGAATTGGTTTCCCATCCGTTTTTCTCATCCACCTGCATGCAAAAGGTGTTTTAATAATCTTCTTGTCGCAATCGAATTGTAGGTGGAGACAGCACTATTCGCTTCAAAAGTGAAAACGGTCCCCAAAAATGTTGAACTGTTTTTAAACTTGATTTGAAGTTTATTTATAGCCATCGATGATATCTCACGAGTTCAAAATATAAATATATGTATAATTTTGACATGTTGTGATTTTTAACGTCTCATGTTTGATGTAAATATGATTATTTTTAATATTTCATAATTACTAAGTTAATAGTTATATTTGAATCATTATAAATGGTATCAATGTTTGTATTAATCCGGGTTTGGCCATGCATTACTGAATTACTGAATTGAACTGATCATCAGCTAGAAAAACAAAAGAAAATAGCAATCAACTAGAATCTAATCTACTTATTACTGACTACTTAAACTTGTTATAACTTTCAATCTTACAAGGGTTTCCTTTGTTTTTGTTTCTCTATTACTAGATTGAAGCATACTGACTTTATAATCAACATGGAAACCTCAAAGTTGGCATAAATTCAGCATAGAATTGAAGATAGAATACCCATTTTATAGTATTCTTCAAGTCTGAAAAAGGTTTTAAAAGAAAGAAATTGGATTGGTCAGTGAAGCATTACCATGGTGGGCTTTTAAAAAACAGCATCACCATTCTTGGAGATGGTGTGCTTAATATATTTACTCTGCGGGAGCAATTTGTGCTGCGAATATTCCCCAACCTAATTTGGGTGCTTAATCCCGCATGCTTATATGGGTGTCAAATGTCAATCTTTGAACTTCCTATAGAACAAATGTGATAGTTTATCAGGAAATAGTTATAAGGTGCATAAATTCAGTCGATTAATGCAGTAATGTTTTAGAGCTTTAAGAAACATTGAAGGATGTTAGGTGTTAGAAAGGGATATGCTGGTTCCCATTACTCACAGATGAAGATCATTCGTTAACAACCAGATTGTTTTATAATCGACAAGATAGCATTATTTCAAGTGTTAAAAATTAAATAATGTCAAATTCGTTTCTTGAGTCTCGCTTTGGGTGTCACCTTTCAGGTCGGGAACGATCATGTCAGAGGATCTACCCTGCAAGGAGCTGTAGGAACTTGGAGAATTTGAAACACTGCTCCCATCCCATCCCAATGCTCCTAAACGATAGTTGATGCCATTTTCAGGTTGCAGCAAGTCGAGGGTCTCAGGCCCATGCTGATGAAGACACGTATATCTTACTCTCCATCACTCGTTTCCATTGCAGAAAGTTTCAAGGACATGGTAGTAATGTTGAAGGAGGCTATATAACAACCTGTTTCTGACCAGGACCTTCATCACGCAGCCAATTGAACCTCTCTTAGGTATCTATCACGCTCAGCTAAAGATCTCTCATGATAGACCAATGAAGGAATCGGTAGTTTTTAACATTCAAAAGTTCAGTATCGGGGGATTTCCCATTGATATACGGTGTAAGAAAGATCACCACATGTTCACTTATGTCATTAGTACGCTTTCATAATGCGTACGTTACATCAAAGGGGGGGTCCATCTTTGAATAAAATAAATAAAGGGTTTTATTATCTAGACTTGTTTTTCAAAGTGGCCATTAATTAGCTAATATTCAACCTTAAAATTAGATTAATTATTGATTAGGTAGGCACTTGATGATAGCCCTGACAAAGTGTATAATTAGGGAACATTGTGGCACATGCAACGGTCAGCCAATGCTATTGGCTTCTTAATTATGTTATCCACGCGATTTAATTATGCAGTTTTCAACACGAAAACAATATAATCTTTTGCTTAATTCGAAAAGAAAACTTTTTCCATCTGACGATGATTGAGCAGAATGCGTAAATGCTTTGCTTGCTGCCACTTCACCAAATTCTTTGCTAATTGATTACAAATCTCATCAAGATAAAGTGAAGCCTACGCTACCAAAACATAATAGATAAAATACACCATTTCAAACGGAGAGACTGCTTCATTTGTTGTTGACTTGTTACAATGGCTGCAGCCAATAAACCATGCCTTTCTATCATGGTAAAGGCAAACACTTTCCAAACATGATTATTCCCAATCGATATTCGAGTTCAAAGTAAGAAATTTATTGGTACATTAATCAAAACCTATGATGTTGGAGAAAGTATAAAGACAATGGGCGTTTTTTGTGGTTTTTTTTTTTTTGTATTAAATACGTGAGAGAGGGTAGACTAAGGAGTGAGTAAGGGTTCCTTATACAGAAATCCACTCGCTCCCACCGCTTTAGGCCGACAGGGTGGCTACGAGTCAAAAGGTTTATGATCAAAGATATTGCTTGCGTTTGTTTATGCGGGAAAAGTTACCCATTATAGCGTTTTGCAAGTTGAATTTTGTTCTTTCATAGTCACATTGGAATCCCATAAATTCGAAACTGAAACTTTTTCCTTTCTCAGCGGCAAGATGTATTAACATAAAAAGATTGGGGTCTGAGCCATTGCAAGCTGATTTCAGTTGAATGGGACTCATCGATGGAGCCATTAGTGATTCCTCCATATTTTTCTTTATCTTCACTATTGGTAGGCAGAAAGAACCAATGGTGGAAGGAAGGCAGCATAATCTAAGCCATACCATTTTTTATCCCTTTCTATTATAAGATCCGGGTTTCTTTTAAATTACATAAAAAAAAAATGTAACACAGCCGGAAACGAAGGGGCCAAACCACAAGAAGTGCTGCATCATTGAAAAGCATAGTTCAACCTTCCCCAGACAATGATTTCCTCTAGGCTTGGAGACGAATCCTGCAGATGATTGATGGGATCTTGTTTTTAATCTTGTCCCATCTATCAGATGAGACGTCTGCGTCCGCGACAGACAGACTTTTTTGAACTATCGATGACCTGCGGGCTGTTTGTCTCTTTTCCCACAAGTGTCCAAAACCTCAACAGGCTAAAGGCCCATGACAAAAGTGAGACTGTTAAGGACTTAACTCCGGCCCAAACTGAGCTCATGCAGACAGCCCAATTCCTTTATCCGAACAAAAGGATTAATTATGTGATCACTTCAAATCATTTATGACAGAGCTCTAATGGGCAAAATTCCCGCAGATTGACTTCCTCTCCAGGTAGAGAAATTTAAAGAATCATGTAGGTTTTATGGATTAGTTTGTGCTTACTTTTGACAATCTAATTTACCGGTACACTCGGTTTTTTAAGTTTAAAACAGGCTTTGATTAATATTAGGCATTCCAATAGTCCAAGGTAAAAATTGGTCCTACACAAACACATAAGACAAAAACCAAAGACCTCTTTGAGCAGCTCATCCTCATGAATCATGACGGTCGTAAGAGCTTGTTCACAGCCGTGTCTAGGGCATCTACATTCCTCCTCAGAATTTTTCTTCACAAGCATTAAGGAACCAAGAGAATGCCAAGGATTAAAAGGTCGAATCAATAAATTGAATGCTAACCAAGTTCAATAGTGGTTTACCAAATGCAAGGGCTTCTATGCACTTCAATAGTGGACTAAGGCATCTGCTGCCTCCACATTAATGGGAGAGAGAGAGATGGGATGTGTCCATAGGTCCATTGTGTAAACAGCTGAAATGAGTAGGCGACAAGCCTTAACATGCAAAGCAAGAACACACCAAGACAACTGAAAAGGATACAGCTGCGAAGCTAGACCGTCAATGCCCTTCATTTCCTCATTTAATCTGCAAATGGGCAAAAAACTGCATCAGGAATCAATACAAAAGGCATGATCTCACTACACTTGCTTGACCCAACACAGATCCTACCATCAAATCTAGGAAGAGAATGTTCTGACTTAGAATGAACTCTTCTTTATCTGGCACTCTAAATTATGAGACATTAATTACAATTGTGGTAGATATTTATGACCAATGTTTTAGCAGATGACATAAGTCTACACAAGTGAAAACTTCTATGAACAAACAGAAGATATAAAATAGTAGCATGTTGCATTGACCAATAAAAGAAAAAACTACAAAAGTGGTCAAAGAAACAAGGTCCAATAGTAATGCCCAGGTTCAAATAACAATTCGAAGTATATTAAAACTGAGATTTATTTGTAAGTGACTTTCCCACAAGAGGTAACATACTTATGTGATCTGCAAAAATATTCATATCTATTTCTTATTGAAATATTAACAATGACTGCTACAAGACCTCTAAATCTCCTTTCTCCTACCACCACCTAGAGCAATCTCCGCAAATATACTAGCATTGATGGTTTTCATTATAATGCATACCAATAATTGGATTATATGCTAGATTGATAGCTTCAATATGACATCAAACAGAATGCACAAACTAAATGACCAGCAGAAACAAATGAAAATTATGTTTGCTTCTAGTTTCATTTAATTTCAGTAGTTCCTCAAGCTTAATGCAACAACATCTAAGCAATCAATTGTTTGTATCACAGGTAGAAGATAAGAGAAATAACTGAAAATAAATTTACAGGTTATATTTCAATTTGTCACAACTTGGCAACCCCCGGCCCCCAAATTTTTTCCTCTTCCTTCTCATCTTTTCTCTTTCCCTGAAAAAAGGAGGGTCAAAGATACTACCTGAGACATGAATTTATATAACGATTTCCCTTCGTTGCTGCATCAAGGGCTACAAATCCAAATAACGAGAATAAGTTCAGATTTTATATCAGAATCAGATTATCTATAACAGAATGCAATATTTCTGGAGGGAAACTAAGCCACAGCAATAGCTATATCAGACTCCAGATGACCAATATGTTGAGCACAACGGTGATAAATTAAGTGACAGAGAAAGAACTCCTCACTCCACTTCAACTATATTCTAGGGAAAATGCACATTATGCAAATAATTAGCACAACTTTTCAAGTTAAGACTAATCAACTTAGTTTAGGATAAGAATACAATTAGCTCCATAATGAGTTGTGACAACTCTGGTGCTATGTTAATGATAGAGAAAATAGAAAAAGTAACCATAATTACCTTGGTTTAAGACAAGAAACCAAGGATGTCTATCATATTTTACAACAATGCTCAGTTAATACGCATGATACCAGATAACAAATTTGCCCCCTTATCATATAATAATCATATTGATAATTGAGTGAAGGAAGCATTATGTTTAACATTCTATTTACCAGATTCTTGAAGGCGCCCAGCTGCATCACCAAAGCATCGCATATGATCAACCGAGCCGCTAGTAACCTACCATTGAAGTATTTTTCACATCAAGTACTGACTAAAGAAAGGCATTTTCACATCATGTCATTTATCCCTGAATTCACATAATAGGAGAAACGAAGAAGAGTAGCATTAACAATACTCCAATTCATTGCCACTCAAACAAAGGAAGATATACCTTGACTTTCGATATACAGTCATGCATAACTTCAAAATTCAAAAACTTAAAACAAAAACAGGGGAAATCTACGATAATTTTTTAAATTTTTCCAGAAGTTTAACAGCAACAAAGCAGATTCTTCATGAAATTTGAATCAATTTCACATAAACAGAAAGTAATTTCCCCCAAACCTCAAATTTTCTCGAGAACTAAACAGAAAGTGCCATAAATTTTAAAATAAATAATTAAATATAACTAAATAAAGGCTAAATCAGACCTCAGAGAGAGCCAAACGAAGCGAAGCAAAGAGAGAAGAGAAGCTGTCGGCGATAGCCAGAGAGTCTCTCTCAACTACCTCTACTGCTTTCAAGATGTCGCTTTTGTTCAACAGCGGCTTTGATTCACTACCGTCAAGTCCACGGGCTTCTACTTCAGTCTCCGGAGACGTGGACTCTTGATCCATGTCTCGCCCCCTGATCGTAACTTCCTGTCCCGTTGATTCATCTCTCTGATCTCCCGCGGCAGCTGACGATGATTCTTCCATTTCCCCGCGAATTCTTTATTTCCTCAACTGTGCTATTTAGAGGAGGTTTCGCTTTTCGAGGGTTTTTTTTTTTAATCTTTTCCTTTTGACGTAATATAAAAGACCCCTAAGCTATTTTTAAAAAATTAAATAAATTTTTATAATTTTATACTTTCAAATTTTTATATTTTTATTTTAAATTAAATATATTTTTATAATTAATAATTAATTTAATTAAAATATCATCTCTCATTTTATACCATATGACCTTAATATAACATGTTAATATATTATAAATAATAAGACTTTGACATATCATATTGATACTAATTAGACATAATAATAAGATAATATAATTTTTTTTATTTTTATATCAATGTCAAATTAGTATCATGTAAATACAAAATAATAAATAATATTTTAATAAATATTAATTATTAATTATAAAAATTTATTTAATTCAAAATAGAAATATCTTGATTGAATACAATAAAGGATAAGAATTTATTTTAATTTTTTAAAATAATTTAAATATTTTTTTCAGAGCTTGTTTAGTCTAGCTTTTTTCTAGCTTAAAAACTCTTATGAAGCTTTTATAAAAAAAAAATTATAAGTTCTTTTTTATAAGTTATAATTTTGGTTAAAATTATTGTAAAGGGTGTTTTTTTTTTAGAGAGTTATATTATAATCATTTTTAACAGATAAGGATAATTTTGAAACAAAAATAATTTTTTTTTGTATTTTTAGAAAAAGAGAAGAAAAAGCTCTTTTTTAAAATTTTTATTCTTTAAAAAAAAATATTTTCTTTAAGAGTTTTTCAAAATTTATGTTTTATTTAACTTTTACTTTTAAGAGATAAATAAATTGAAAAAAAGTTAAGCCAAATAAGCACTCAGTATTATACCTTTCTGTTTTTTTAATATTAAAATTTTTACAATATTAAGTTTTGCTCTACAATTTTATATTAGCCTAATGCCTTTTAAGAATAATAGTAAAAGAAAAAGAAAAGGAAAAGTCCATTCCCTTATAAAAATCAAAATTGCTTTAAAGCAAAAGTTCTTAATTAAAAAAATATAATACTTGAAAATATTCATGAATTGTACTAGAGCATTTGACTCATTGGTTAATCCATGATCCCCTGCTTAAAGAATAAAGTTTGAATATCTCCTCTTCTAATTATTAAAAAAAAATTAATAAGTTTTTATTATTCTATTGTGTTTAATCAAATTTATATATTTTTATTTTAAATTAAATATATATTTATATTAACGGTGAACTAATTATTATTAATTAAAATATCACTTATCATTTTATATTCATATGAAACTAATTTGATATTAATAATAAGAGAAAAAAATATTAGATGAATATATTATTATACTATATCATTATTTATTATGACAGGTTAATATATTATGTTAGTAACATGTGATATAGAATAATAAATGTAATTTTAATTAATAATAATTAATTAATTATTAATGATAAAATGCAAGAATATGATTGAATTAAATTTTTTTAATATATTATTTTTTAAAAAATAAAAAACTCATTTATAAGTAACTATTACTGATAAATCTAGTTCTACAGGGAAAAGGTGAAATTATCTACGCCTCCCTATGTCTATGAATTCAGCTTCTATCCAACGTTGGTGGGTGGGTTAAAACCACTAAAACAAGGACTTTAGACTCTAAATTTAGAACATTTCATAATTTTATAATAATTTTATAATAAATTATATTAAAACATATAGAGTTAAGATAATTACTAAAATATCAATTTATTCTCTCATCCTTAATAAATATCTATTTTTCTCATTATTTATCTCATTTCTTAATAAATATCTATTTTTCTCATTATTTATCTCATTTCTTATAAAAAATAGGTAAAAGTTAAAAATTTAATAAAATAACATATTTTTTCACTTTTTTAATTATGTGTCTAATAAATCTCAAGTTTTAATAATAATATATATTTATATTTATTTATCTCCAATAATTATTTTTTATATAAAATAATTTTTTTATTTTAGAAATTAAAAATTTTAAAAGATGCATATATTGTTTTTAGAATAATGTTAATAATTACGATAAAGATTGTTTTTCAAAATTAAAATTAATAAAATATTATTTAAAATCAAATATGTCTCAAGATTAAATGGATTGACTATATTATCAATTGAAAAAAAAAATTAAAAAACCTTGATTAATTATAAAAATTTTACATCTCAAAAAGTTAAAAGAATAAAATTTTAATAAAATTTTATTAAAATTCCTCATTTGAATATTTAACCTTAGTTCTTCAAGATTTCTATCCCTCCGTTGCAGACAATTGAAACCTTGGACTCAGTCTTTTCTTCCCATTATTCACAGTTTCTGCATTTCATTATATTTTTTTTGAGATGTATTCTGCCGCATGCCATAATCAACTAGTTGATGCAAAACTGATCTGGTACGTGACACTGGAGACACCGGGATTCTTTATAAATTCCTTGTACACTCTACAAATTCAGATGGGGGAGCTTCCCTTTGATTTGGACGACGATGTCGCTGAGGATCCCCGTCATGAAGCTTTTGATGAAGAAGAAGATGATGATGATGATGCTTCAAGGCTGCAACTTGGAAAAGAAAATACCGGCAACCGGGATTTGGGTAAAGTGAAAACTGAAGAACCCTGCTGTTCTTCTGGTTTCCTTGGAAGAGCTTTTGCTTGGACCAGGAACTGGTGTTTATGCTTGCTTTCTTGGCTTGATTTAGTATAATAACACATTTTTCACATTCCACTTTTAATAAAGTATGTATAAAATGATAAGTGGTATGTTGATTAATTATAATTAATTTATTTATTTAATTTAAAATAAAAATATAAAAATTAAATAAAAATAAAACTTATTTAAATTTTTTTAATAGATTAGGAATTTTGTTAATATTATGTAAAAAGAATCTACTAATTAGGTTAATGATATTGAGTTTTGATAAAAAAATATTATTAGATATATTTAGTTTTGGACTTTTGGTTTACATATATATATATATATTTTAAGATATCAATTATCTAATAAGGGATGGACTTCAAGCCGCCGCCGTAACCTAAAGGGTTTTTTTCATTCAAGTATTGATACCTAAATACCTAACCCTACTTTGATTTTTACCAAAACTCTTAAATTCTTTGAACCCAAAATTCCACTCGCCATCTTCTTCTGCCAACTCTCCTATCTCTCCTTTTCAAAATATTCTCACTGTTCATATATTCCTTTAAAACATGTCTAATGAAATACCCATTGCTGCAACAAACGATTCAACGACAAGAAACGGAGGAGACTTTGTCTTTTCTCTCGCTCTGAATTCACTGGGACAAGAGACAACTCTGGTAATATCCGTATCACTAGGGTTCGAGCTTTGCATTGAAGCAGAACTAATAGAGTCAGATGATAATTCCATGGAAGACAGTAATAGTACTCTCGACAATGATATCGATGAGTTGTTGGTTGATATCGACTCAAGGATGCGGCCAGCAAGTAAAACAGTCATCGAAGGATTAGAGAAGGTGAAGATTAGAGAAGGGTTAAGCGATGAAAAGTTTTGTTCGGTGTGCTTGGAAGAGATGTCGACGGAGATGGAAGCTAGACGTCTGCCTTGCTCCCATATTTATCATGCTGCCTGCATTGTAGAGTGGTTGAAGAATAGTAATAAGTGTCCCTTGTGTCGCTATAATATGCCCGTGGTTGATTTTGATCTGAATATGTAAAGAATGCCTTGGTGGATCATAATCTGACTATGTTTTCTTTTCTTTCTTTTCTTTGAGTTTTTTTTTTTTGGTGCTCTAACTGATCAGCAATTTATTTGTAATTTTAAATTAATGCAATTAATTAGCTACAAGGCATTCTGCAATTCTAGATTTCACCATGCATGAGTTATATTCATAAATCATGACAGAAGCATCAAACCTTTGAGAAGAAGCCTCTGTCTTCCTCCCTTCTACTGTTCCATTGAAGCAGGTTTTTTTTTGGCCGTTATATAGAGGCAGTTAATTGACCTTTTCCCAAAGGCTTGGCTTAGCTCGTTCCAATACATTGCTTGGATTTAGTGGCGGGGCACCTAAGTAAGTTTACTTATTAGGCCTTTTTTTTTTTTATTTCTAGTGAAGTCATGTGTAAAATGGTTAATACATATAAGAAAAGATATCAATATATCAACGGAACTAGGGTATCAGTATACCAGCAGAACTATCTCCTCCTCCTCCGCTAGTTCAAAGATTCCGAACAACTTTAACAAGATTTTTTTCTTTTCTTTTTTGCTCTTTCCTTTTTTCTATCAAGAAACCCAATAACCCTAAACCCTTCCAAACCCCTTTCTAATCCTAAGTTCTTCTGTTCTTTTCTTTGTTATTGCTCTCCTGCAAATATGACGTCTACGTGGAACACGTACAAGAGGGTTTCGTGGTAATACTCAGACCCGTCTTCATTCGATATTAATGGAAGATGGTTCCGTCGATGGCTGTTTCAATGATGCTGCCATGCAGATGCGGCCTGCAAGTTAAACAGCCATTGAAGGATTAGAGGAAGTGAGGATCGATGGCACAATAGGGCAGTGTGCGGTGTGTTTGTGGAGTGGTTGAAAAAGAGTAATATGTGTTGCCTGTTGTAGATTTTGATTTGAATTCCAGGATGCTTGCTGATTTGAATGTAGAATAATTATATTAAGTTTATGTTTTAGAAGTATTTTCTTTCAAGTACAGAGGCAGCATGATACTAAACTTTTTTCTTCTCTCTAGCATTTTTTATTGTTGCTATATTATGTCGATACCATTACTCCTGTAAAGGTAAATTCTTGCAGATTAAGTTTTGTTATACTGTAGCTAAACTTAAACTATTTGGGGTCTAAATGTGGTAAACCTCTTCATAATTAAAGGTTATATAGCCTTAAGGAATCGTATAAATTTTGATTAATTCATCGTGACCTTTACCTCAAATACATTAAACAATTGAATATATATATATGTATACCTTTATTCTCGGAACCTTGTTCTTTGGAGTTGTACATATCCATCACATGGCATGAGTAACAGGAACTAATTAACCTTGATCTCCTCTGATGCCCATAAAACCTTTACTGTATCAGTGCCCCTTTTTCCAACTCCATCCCACTTACCTTTATAAACCTCTATCATCACTATTCAACGGGTTCCATTTTCTCCAAATCACCAGCAATTCTTATTCTTCAGCTGTGCAAATATATATAATTTGCAATTCTAAATGAAGGAGTGGAATAGCAAAGAATTTGGAAGAATATATCCTCAATCAGACTATCTGCCTTAACAGTTTTTGTTCCAATATTGCAGGTATGATTGATTGTTTGCACCCTTTTTCTCTTGTTTTATAGCTTTGCAGGTTGTGGTGAATTTTATACTTTCTTAACAGTTGGTTTCCGTATTTGTACTTCTTTCTAGCTAGGTTTTATTATGATACCCTGAACACTGGTACTTTATCTTAGTTAAAAAGGCTGGGTCAGGCTACATTTTTTCTGACCAATGATATCAGGCTAAATGCAAACTTCATGACTAAATGCTAGTGCTAGCATAAAGGTTCGGCAAAACCTTTCTCGTGAAAAGATGTTTGACTCATTACATTTACCGATCTTCTTCTTTCTTTTATTTTCGGTTGATTTGACTTCTCTCACACAGTGACTCTGCTCTCCAACACCCTAACGTATCCCCAACAAACTACTATTATTATTGTTATTACAAAAGAACGATGTCTTTTTCTAAGAGAGCTGTTTCATGGTAGAAAACAAGATTGTATTACTGTTACAATTCAAACACACACACACACACACAAAAAAACTTTAGACTTTTCATCAATGCATAAATTTTGTGCCTATGAAAGTGTCGGAACTCGGAAGTTATATGTTGCGTTGTCGTTGGCACATAGAATGTGACATCAAACTATGTTTTCAGATGGAAGGTAAAGGCCAATTGAAGAAAACATAATAAATGGTGGGCCAACTGGCGGTTGGGCACGGACAAGCCGGCCTCTTTATTTTTCCAACTTAATTTGTTGTTTACTAATTACTACTATGACTTCCTACTTCCTTTTCTATTTCTGAACCAACAGCACACGTTGGTCACCTTAGATTCTTATTTTTTACTATAATTATCATTTTAAATACTATATTTTATGACGTGGCAAATGATGCTTCAAAATTAATGTAAGTTTCATGATATTTTTGTTTGGGTTTCATTATTTGATTTATCAGAGAATTAGAGGCTGTCACGATATTTCAATGAATCTATATTAACATTGATTTTAATAAAATATAAACATAATTTATATTTATAATAATCAATAAAATAATTATTATTGGAAATATATAGAAAAAAGAATATTTCGAGGAGTTCAACTGTCCTAATAACATCAGCAAGTGAACAGAAAGACGTGTTATAAAAGTGAACTGTCACGAAACGATCTCCAATACACCGTTCCCCGTTGAGTCAGTTATTTTGTTTGTTTCTATAATAATTCAAATCCAAAAAAATAATATAAAATAAAGCAAATAAAACGACAAAAGCAAAAAACCAAAAGCACGAAGGCGGGAAGTTTACTCCAAAATAGCTGGGCCCAAATCCAAAATTAAACAAAACAACAAATTTAAAAAAGGCTCCGTTATAACCTTTTTTGATTTTTCAAAAAAAATATAAACAAACCCAAAACCAAAGGGAAAAACAAAAAAACGTTGCCAAACACCCTCGTACGGTCATTTCACTCGCTTTCCATTTTCCATTTTCCATTTTCCAACGCAACAAAAGCATTTCCTTCACTTGCCATGCTTCTCTTTACGGGGTAAGAGAAGGGAAAAAAAGAAATATCGGGCGGTTCGAGATTTCGAAATCGCTCGATTTCTGGAATTGATCTGCTTCGATTTTATTTTTGTATAATCACTGTTTGGTTTCTAATCTTTATTTTGTTCCACCTGAAACACTCGAATATCTTTTTTTTTTCCGAGTTATGAATTGTGTTAGACATTTGTTGGATCTTCGAGATCTTGATCTAGTCTCCTGTTAGATTCCTCAGGTTCGTGATTTTACCGTACATTTTGTTCGTACATGTTGTTTTTCTGTTGAATTTAATGTCTTGTTTGGATCTGAATGGATTTCAATAGCTTTCAGTTCAGTGTTTCACAGCTTTTTAAATTTATTAGGTAAGAAATTGCAATGGGAATCTTAATGCAGCATGACGGTTTGAAATTATGATTGTTTGGTTGCTAAGAAAGCAGTGAAGAACGTAACTCTGACTTTCTGTTCTTTTTTTTTTTTATTTTCTTGTTTTTTGGAGAATTGAACACATTTAGTATCTGTTTAGCAGAGTGATTTTATTAAGTTTACTTTATTTAGATGACGTGTAAAACAAGATAAGAATATCTGTTCTTTTATCTTTTTAAAATTTTTCACTCTTCTATCTTCCTTCACTTTCAGTGACAGAAAAAAGCTTGACATTCGAAATGAGTAATACTTTTTCTCTCTCTTAGCCTCCCACTTAATGCGAACAAAATATGTTGGAACTTCGATTCTCATGTGATATTATTTTAAGTTCCAAGGTAGTTGTACAAAATTTGTGCCTTTACTTTCTGCTTTTAGCCGTGAATGGATTAGTAATGCAATTCATTACTTTTTCACTAAGATAAATGTTATTTTTCCCCTTGTAGGACTGAGTCCTATGTTATCAGAAAGATAAGATTTCGGAGAAGTCAGCTTGAACATCCAGCTAAAAAGGCAGATGAGGGAAAACGGTACAGTTAATGGCTTGAATGGAACTCATTATGTAGATACTGAAGAAATGGAGAGTTTTGAAAGCGTGATCAGTGGTAAGTAATCATACCTTATAGCTCTTTCAATATTTTTACTCATCTTCCATTTATTAACTCTGAGCTTTAATTTTGCTAGGTGACTGGCTGTCTTCTCTGGTGGAGTGGTTAAATGGCATGCTTCCTGAATTAAGTTTGCCACTGGATGCAACAGAAGAGGAGTTGAGAGGGTGTTTGACTGATGGAGCTATTTTTTGTACCATTTTGAACAAGCTGCGTCCTGGTTCTATTGAAATGGTTTGATCTCTCTTTTGTTGATATGTTGTTTCTGTATTAGTTTGTCTTCTATTTAGTTCATTTTCCTCTTTTAGAGTTAATCATACATGTTTGCATCTTGTTCTGGGCATTGGACTTCACTATTTGAGCATGTTTTTTCTCCAACTTCAGGAAGGTGGTCCTGTAAATGTTAAGAGGTTTCTGATTGCTATGGATGAAATGGGGTTGCCCAGCTTTGAATTGTCTGACCTAGAGCAGGTATTAATTGACTTGAAGGTAGTTTTTATGTAATCAATGTTCTATTGCAGGGTGGTAGACATGTAAGGTTGGTTAAAACTGAAAACATTTTGCCTACTCATTGATAATGAGATTGTAACCATTTTGCCTAGACATTGATCTTAGCTTGTGTGTGAGGAGCAAGATAAGATTGGCCCCATTTTGGATGTATAATGTTGGTATATTCCTAATAAAAATGAACTGTGGTACTATTATATTTAGTTATTCATCAATCTCAGTGAAAAGTATGAGTGTGTAGGCATGTAAACTTCCTACTACAAACCCTTTGATATCAATTTTGTATTGGTTCTTGGTTGGAGTGGATTTTTTTTTTCTTTCAGATGAGTCTGATTCTTCTATCATGGAATTAAACCTCTATCTGGTTCAAGGTGTATGGTGAACTATCTTAGTTTTCTTTTTGTGCAGGGCCAAATGATGCCAGTATTAGAGTGCCTTAAGACACTTAGGGCATGTTTCAATTTTAACGGGGAGGCTGATAATGTCCAAAATCCTTCCAGGAAGAGATGGAATCTTTCAGGTGAAATTGAAAGCATCCAATTGAAGCAAGGATGTTGTGCTGATCTTTCTGATGCAACAATTTTAGAATTAATGAAATCTAGCAGTTTAGAAGTAAGGCCCTGAACTCCTTCACTGCACGCCTATATGTATTAGTGAACCCCATTTTGTTATCAGATTTTCCATAGCAACTCTTAGTTCAATGTATACTCAACCATTTTCTTTTGCGCAGAATGCCTCAACTCAATCACTGTTCAGTATACTGTACAGGATTATGGATGAAAGTATTGAAAGAAAGAAGGGAGATGTACCTCATGTATGGCTGTCAGAGTACATACAGATGCTTTATTGCCTTAGCATATGTGGATATTTTCATTGTTGTGTCTCTATATCTGTATTGGTCCTTGTGTATCTTCCATATTGTATTTCTTTCTAGTAACTTTTATTTGTGATTTTTCTATTATTATTTTTTTGCTCAGCGTGTGGCATGCCTGTTGAGAACGATTGTGCAAGAGATAGAATGGCGAGTTTCAACCCGGGCAGAAAACTTAAAAAATGTAAATTGCTTTCGGACTTTTTTCTCTCTTAGAGAATATTTTCTAATTTGCTTTGCATGAATAATTAATATTTATATTCTTGGACTCCTTCAGCAAAACAATGTTTATAGGGCCCGTGAGGAAAAGTACCAATCAAGGATAAGAGCACTTGAGACCTTAGCAAAGGGAACTGTGGAGGAAAATAAGGTACTTGACAAATTGTTTAAGGTGTGTGCCTTAGCTTTTTAAGTGTTTTCCCTGCTGATATAATCCTGGACCTGTTTTGCTGCCTGTAGGTTGTTATAAGCCAACTACAGCATTTAAAGGTGCAAGTCTTATTCTTTCCCGTTATACTTAATTAATTGCTAATTTTCAATATTAATTTCGTATTCTAATTCTGTGCCTTTATTTTCCTGAGACTTCCATTGACACATTGTTTTGTGGATTTAATGTCTGATGGTATTTTCTTGATTCTTACATCTGAAACTCAACTGCATCTAATTGTTTGAATTGCTTAACTTGTATTTGCTATTGTTTAAAGGGCAACAAGAATATTTGTGTTGTTTTTGTTCGTTATTTCAATTTATATCGTGTGTGAAATTCCATTAGTGAATAATAGTGAAGTGTTGATACAAAAGAACTTGAGAAGTGGATTTTTCTTGTGAAGGAAAAGCGATTTAGTTTCAGAAGAAAAATTAAGGGGATGATTTTAAATGTACAAAAAAAAACAGGTCCTTGTTTCATGTCTATTGATGTCAAAAGTAACAGAAGAATGAACAGAGACACCAGATAAAGGTGGATTTAATCTTTAAGACCAGCTGGTCTAATTACCTACACAAAAGCTGGAGTTTTCTTGAAGACAGTTATCAATAAAGTTTTCTAATCAGATACTTTTTGAGTGTCCAAAGTTCCACATTCAGGTATTCTCATCCAATCATACTGTCACTTAGAAGACATTGATCTAGTTTTGGGTTTCATTTCTTGTTTCTTATTTTCTAGTTTAGTAGTACTTGTTATTAATTAGGGGATGGGGGAGGCTTGACAGAACTGTAAACTTGAGAGAGCTTGGATTTTTTTTCAACACTTGTACTGAGCTGTGATACTTTATGTTAGCTTAATAAGGAGCTGCAGCAATAGACTATAGTGAAGTTGATCTGATCCCTCTTGTTTGGTGAAATTAAGCTAAGATTGACATGGACGATCTATCTGACTAGGAAACGTTTTTCCCATTCACAGTCTTGATAGTATGTCACTTTGTGGTGCTTTGCAAGGATTTGTTTCTTTTTTTATCAAAAGCCCTATTTTGTCCCTTAACAGTCTTAAATGATTGCTTCCTATATTTCTTGAGAATTGCAGATTGAAAAGAGTAAATTGGAGGAGAAGGGAAAAGTTGAAGAGCAGGATGTGCTTCAGCTTAAGAAGGAGAAGATTCAGAATGACACTGAGATCTCTAGGCTGAGAGAGGAACTAGAAAGCAGCAAAAAGATGCATGAATGGCATTGTCTACAATTGGAAGCCCAGGTTGAGGATGCTAAAGTTGAATTAGAAAAGAAGTTGAAAGAACTTGAGTGTCTTTTAAGAGATTCTAGGAAAGAAGTGGATGAGCTTCAGTCATTTTCTGAATCTAAACAAAAGATATGGGCAGATAAGGAGTGCACTTATGAGAGTTTCATTGATCAACAATTTGTGGCTTTAAAGGTTTGTTGTGTTTGCCATGTTCCTATAATGTGATATTGATGCATAGTCCTATAACATGAGGTTTTACACTGTTTAGGAATTGAGGGAAGCTTCTAAGTCCATCAAACGTGAGGTTCTGAAGACAAAAAAGAGCTACTCAGAGGAACTTAATTACTTAGGTTGTGTGGTTATTCTTGCTATTTGTTTTGTTTGTTTGGCTTGGTCTGCCGTCTCGATATCATTTGCTTATTAAATTGTGCAACTTCTCACTGTGTATTCCCTTTTTTCTTGAGTAGGAATAAAGCTTAAGGGACTAGTAGATGCTGCAGAAAATTATCATTCTGTTCTTGCTGAAAATCGAAGATTGTACAATGAGGTTCAGGATTTGAAAGGTACATTGTATAATCTTAGTTTCTTTAGATTTTGTATCCAAGTAGCTGATGCATATTTCTTATTTTCTCTGTAGGAAACATTAGAGTCTATTGTAGGATAAGGCCATTCCTTCCAGGGCAAAGCAAGAAACAAACAACAATAGAATATATTGGTGAGAATGGTGAATTGGTTGTTTCAAATCCCTCGAAGCAAGGAAAGGACACTCATAGGCTCTTCAAGTTTAACAAGGTTTTCAGTCCAGTAGCTACCCAAGGTTTGAAATTTCATAACCTTTTTCCATTGTTGATAATCAAATTCATCTATTAATTTAATTGCTAGATAGTTTGTCACGATAGTCATGTTTGCTGCTTATATATGAACATTTTTCAATGTGATATGTTTACAGAGGAGGTATTTTTAGACACCCAACCATTGATTCGGTCTGTTCTTGACGGATACAATGTTTGCATATTTGCTTATGGTCAAACAGGCTCGGGAAAAACTTATACAATGGTGAGCTACTTATTCATATTTTTCCATTTATCGTTTGTAGCTTATTTTAAACTTGTGGGCTATATCTGATGCATTTTAATTTTCTTTTTCCAGAGTGGACCCAACGTGTCTTCTAAAGAAGATTGGGGAGTCAATTATAGAGCACTGAATGATCTTTTCCAAATCTCTCAAAGCCGGAAAAGCTCCATTATATATGAAGTTGGTGTTCAAATGGTTGAGATATACAATGAACAAGTTCGCGATCTGCTTGTTGGTGACAGTTCTCATAGAAGATATCCTTTATTTTAATCTTTTGGATTTCAGTTTCTTCTTGTGTTTCTCAGTTCTGATCTGCAATTTGGCTCCATAAATTATTTTTTATTATTGTTGTTTCTTACTCATGGTTGATCTTTATGTTACCCTACTTATTTATAAATTTGCAATCCTCATTCTTAATTTTTATGTATTTGGTCAGAACTATTTACACTTTACTCATTTTCACTTTCTTCCTACTGTTAAATATGTTCTTTGTTTCCTTTGACTTGCACACACTTGGGATTTGGAACACCACCCAACCAAATGGGTTAGCTGTCCCTGAAGCAAGCATGCATTCTGTTAAATCAACCACTGATGTTTTGGAATTGATGAATATTGGGTTAATGAATAGGGCTGTAGGTGCTACAGCCCTAAATGAGAGGAGTAGCAGATCCCACAGGTTATATTTTCACATATTTCCTTTGTATATAACTTGTTACTTGGAGTTCTCTTCCTAATGGGTTTCAGTAAATTATTATGTGCAGTGTTCTCACCGTTCATGTTCGAGGCACAGACTTAAAAACTAATGCTGTTTTGCGTGGTAGTTTACATTTGGTGGATCTTGCTGGCAGTGAACGGGTAGATCGTTCAGAAGCAACTGGAGACAGGCTTAGGGAGGCACAACATATAAACAAATCTCTGTCAGCTCTTGGAGATGTAATCTTTGCTCTGGCACAAAAGAATGCTCATGTCCCTTATAGAAATAGCAAACTAACTCAAGTTCTCCAGAGTTCTTTGGGTACCTTTCAGATTTCAGATTTTAATTTTGCTATTGTGATTTCACAGCATCATTATGCCCAATAATATTCTACATATGTTATATAGTTTCATTTTCTCTTACTGATTAATTGTCCTTTTCTTTTAATATCAAATTGTAGGTGGTCAGGCAAAAACCCTTATGTTTGTGCAGCTTAATCCTGATGTAGAATCATACTCTGAAACCATAAGTACCTTGAAGTTTGCCGAGAGGGTTTCTGGTGTTGAGTTAGGTGCTGCACGGACTAACAGAGAAGGGAGAGATATTAGAGAACTTATGGAACAGGTCTTCTTCTTTTCTCTGCCTCTCCTCATTTTCCCTTTTCCAAAAATTAATATAGCATAGCTGTTGAAACTTAGTAGCAATTGTTACTACCTTGGTTATTTCCATGGGAATGGACAAACCATGAGTTACAGTCCAAAGTTTGACAATGAAAATCTCACTTTCACTAATGAGCCTGTCAACGAGCATCCTTGCAACAGCATATTTTAGTTTGCATTGCTAGCTTTTGTCAGTCTTGATTCTAGCCAAACAGTATGCATGAATGCTTGTTTACAAAGTCTGATTCTCTGTTGGTTTGTGGAGACACTTTAGGGTTTATCCTATTTCCTAAGCTCTAGATAAGATGTACTAGCTTTGGTTAGGAGGAGGAAATTCTTGCTTTTTCTGTCTGTTTCTTGAGGATGCTCAAGTTTCTTGAAGAAGATTTTAACCGTTTTAGATCATTTAATCTGTCATTTCATTTTCTGATCTGTTATTGATCTTGAAGGTTGCATTCCTCAAGGAAACCATCACAAAGAAAGATGTGGAGATTGAGCGTTTGCAGCTTCTTAAGGGTAATGGCAATGGTAGTAAGCACGGTGTGAGCTCACTGAGGTATGGATCTTCCTCTCCTAGGGGACACTCCATTGGGACTCCTCGAGAAAGCCGGAGCCTGTCAAGACGGCAAAGCTTGGGAAATTTTGAGAAAGCAGTTTTTGATGCGGACAATTTCTCAGTTAACAGCGATAAGCGTTCTGAAGCTGGCTCTCATCGGACAATGGATGACTCAAAGCTACACAATGAATCTTCTGTGCAGACAAACCTTGCAGGAAAAGATTTGGATCAGAATTTTGCTGATGATATTGAACTCTTGGGCTTTGGAGATGCAGATTCAGAGGAGAGATTAAGTGATATATCTGATGGTGGACTATCTATGGGTGGTACAGAAACCGATGGCTCAATCTGTAGTGTTGTAGAGTTCACTCTTTTCCCGGAAGTTTCAAAACCTTCTGATAAAGTGGAGAAAGTTGAGAAAGCAGACAAAGCTGAAAAGCCTGATAATATTGAGAAGTGAGTGTCTTTCATCTCCTTGGTTTATCATTTTCTATAGGATCCTGTTTCTGGATCTAGTAGTAGGAACTTGTTAACCACAAGAATCATTGCAATATTTTATAACTTGCTAAACCATCCTTTTCCTTTCCCCCTGTTCTCTAAATTCATGATTATATATAAATTGTTAGCTGAAGTGTGTGTAGCAGTATTGTGCATAATACATATTGCTTGGGCTTGAAGATTCTGTTAGTGAAGCAGGATATAGAACATTTTTTGATTTTTCTGGCTGGTTCATTTGTTGCTTGAAATTAGGTCCATTGCCCCATTTAAGCTTCCAAAGCTGCCTCAAAAAGTAGTGCAAACAAAACCTGTTCGATTGTCAATGTCCAGGAGCTCCTCAAAGGCTTCATCAAGTACGTAATTTTTACATATTCTATTATCTGTTTTAGTCATTTTTAAAGCTAAACTAGCTAAGTAGCTCTCCACTGCACTACTGCCAGGGCTTATTTTGCTGATTTGTGATATAATTTTATCCGAATACCATGTCTGACTGGACCCTTCTCTCTCTGTTTCTTAAATTTTATTTCTTGTCCTCACCCTTTCTTTTTCTCAAAATGTATATCAGGTGCGAGAAAAATTACTGCTGTTGCCACTGCCAGTTCTTCAACAAAGCCCTCGAAACGATGGCAGTGATTTGAATATATATATATATATATATATTAGATGGTAGAAGAAATCTGACTCGGTCTAGTTTGTAATTATGTTTACAGCTTAACTATGCTTATTGCCTGTAGGTTGTTCCTCGCTTCCATTTAGCTTATTGGAAGGAGTAATAGAGAACTGTTCACTTGTAACATACATTCTCAAGGGCCGATATCCGGTTCTCATTATATTGCCTATCTATAATATTGTCTCCCCCCACAAAACCCATCAGATTATGTCTCCAGATACGCTGTAAAAGGTATGGAGTGGGTGCAGAGGGGAAGGGAAGGGAGGAACAACCTCATTGATTGCTTATAAAATAACTAAGAATGATTTAACTGATATTGCATTGGAAGTTTACTATTTAGTTTTAGAGATTGAAACAAATTGCAAATATTATCCATGCGTATACGCTAATACCATATTGTTTGGGAAGAAAGCGGCTCCCAAAACTCGTCAAGTTATTGGTTTGAAACTGTATTCCTAAGGTGTAAGAATATTTTTACTTCTTTCGGTATTATATTAGCGCAGTTTGCTAGTGATATTTTGTGCGTTGCCGTCCGATGGAGGTTGCCAAATGTGGTCTGGAAATGAATATGAGAATCATATTAGAAGGAATGAGTAAAAGCTTTGAGACATCTAGCCGCTGCCCAGCTCCTTATTTATGGGTTGTTCAAATAACAATTAAGGCGAAGCAGGGTCAATTCAACCAGGTCGCCATGAGTGGGACTCCGACATTGCTTTTGGTAGTTCGAATTGAAGGGTAATTATCGACGTCTGGGTGGTGTAGTTGGTTATCACGCTAGTCTCACACACTAGAGGTCCCCGGTTCGAACCCGGGCTCAGACAAGATTATATTTTTATTCTTTTTCACAATTTGTATTTATCAACTAATTAATTAGTTATTTTTCTAATCTTTGTTTGTAAAGTATAAAAAATTTACCATTAAAGAATAAGTTTAAAAATCTTATCCTAAGAATAAACCTAAGAAGAAAAACACAAAAAACTTTCACAAATCATACTTCACCTATTAAACTTGTCTTTTTAAGCCAAATTTATTAACTTTTGATGATTTTCTTTTTAATTTGACTTAGAACAAATCTAACAGAAGAAACCTATTAAGGGTTTTAAAAAATTTTCATAATTTGCATTTCAAAACTATTTGTATTTATCAAACTAATTACTAATTAGTTATTCCATTTATCATAAAATTTAGGTAAAGTCCCTCTAACGTATGCATGTGCACGTGGTTCCAAAGGTATGCACATGGTTTCAATAAGAATCTGCCAATGACATGTTCATGTTGAGTATTTTGGAAAGTTTCAAAAATTATTATTAAAAGAATATTTAGAATTAATTTAGATGCTTTTTCAGATTTTTTTAACCTTTCACTCATCCTATTTACACTCATGAAATTCTGATATAACAGTCACAACAATTATAATAGTGCAGCACAAAGTTCCCATTCCTCTAGTAGTAGACAATATGGAGACCTTCAAAGTAGCTGTTTTTATCACTCTTTTGCTTTCATTTGGTAATTTTTTTTCTTTTTTATTTATTTTTTATACGGACAAGAAAGATTTTTTTTTAAAAAACTAAATGGTTAATCAAGTTTTGTTGGCAAGTCTACTGTTCTGAAATGTGCCATTAATTGAAGCTCAACAAAAACAGTTTAAATGCACAACTAACGATGATTGCACGAAGCAGTGTCGATCCAATCTTAACATTTGTGCTAATGGTTTTTGCAAATATATATCAAGATATCAAATTGTTGTTAAGGAACAAGTTTATTTTGATGTAATAGGTAAAAATATCATGTTATTTTACATGATGAAATAAATATTGTTAATAATAAAATTTATTTTACACGATGAATAGCAAATAAAATAATAAAGTTTTTTTTAATTTTATAAAATTCTGAATAATTGAGTTAAACATACAATGTAATAGAGCAACACAACAAAATTCAAAGGATTAAGAGTACCCATAATTACAAATTCACCTCAAAATTAAAATTTAAGCTTGTATTAATGAATTTACTCCACGAATGAACTTGAATTTGATTTCAGTTGTTTTCCTTTTTATGTTGAGATAAGCTCATGCCATTTACGGTTCTCACCTCACGACCATAGGATTTGTTGTTCTTCACGTGTGGTTCAAGTCTAATATATGCAATCGTCCGCACTGGATATTTCAAGCAATTTCATTATGGGCCACAGGCCCATTAAGCACTGGCAATATTGTATCAAACAGGGAAGGGCAGGGGATACGTTATTTTGAATTTATTTTCCCGTTCAAAATCTCCATATAGGCCCGGCTAAGACCAGCCTTAAACCCTAATTGTCTCAGGAAACAAACATTCCCCCAATCAATTTTCTCGAGAAAATGATTCTCGGCATTCAAAAGTCTCTCCTTCTCCCTCGTAATCAACCAAATTCGTTGAGGTCTAACCCTCTGCAGATTTTGCTTCTCTCTCTCTCTCTCTCTCTAGAACCATTTTAGAGCTTGAAATTTGATTTTCTTTTAATTTTCTTATCATCCAGGGATGTTGTATTGTTAATCAGCTTCTTGAGTAATTTGATATTGGAGGGCCTTTTTTGCTCAATTTACCTATAATAAAAAAGGGGACCAAGTATCTTGTAAGTTTGTTTTTATTTCATTTTCTTTTTTATTCTCGAAATTTCATGTTTGCTGTTTTCCCTTAATGTTATGAATATTTTTTATTGAAACTGTTATAAGAAAATTACTTTTTTGCCCATTGTTTAGATTTTTGGTTAAAGAATCTTTTAAGACTGTCTAGTTGAATAAGCAAGGTTAAAGTTTATTAGCTGTTGACATTAGTCTGTTGGCTGTAGATGTTTGCGTTTGACTGTCCTTTCTACTTTCTTGTTGGTTTTTACTTGTTTGCTTATATCTTTGTCAGAATTTAATGAGGGTTCTGTGTCTGTTGTTAGTTTTTGTTCAATGATCTGTTTTTCTTAATTCTAGGCTGCAGGTTCCTTTTATGCGAGATAATGTTACGATATCTGCTTTTTCAAGGAATTCTTGAAAGATTTTGAGAAAATGCCTGCCTCGAAAATGCCATGTAGAAGTGATCAACCTTCAATCAAATACAGGTGGAGCACAGATGAGGGGGCTTTCTTTGAGGTTGGTAAGCTTGTTCCTGAAGAATATGCCCCTTCTCTCCCTGATAAAAGTAGGAAAAGTAGAACAAAATCTGAAGCCAAGCAACCTGAAATACTGAGCACAGCTGAGCTCATCGCGTCTTTAAACCAGATATGGAACTGTGCAAGCCGTCTTGCTATTTTTCAACAGCAGGCGAATCTGGATAGAAACCATTTTGTTTCTCAGAAAGAGGACATATTGGTCAATCTGGGGAGGGAGAAAAATGGCACGGGATCTATTTCAGCTGATAGTAAGTACTTTTGTGTTGATTTGGGGACAGCTAGCCAACTCCCACCTGTTATGAAGCCAAACTTTGAGTTTGTCAAAATAACCAAGAAGATGTCCATGTTTGATTTTTGTAACAAAAATCCTAAGTGTTCATTTTACGAGGGGCTTCTGTGCTGTGGTACTGACTTGTCTAATGAGCCCTGGAAAGGAAAGGGGCTTTCAGCTGTTGGATTCTCATATAAATTTGGAAATGTATACAAATGGATGAGGGAGATGATTCCTGGTGGACTTAAGTATTATGTAAATGTCCAGACTGAGAACAAGAAATTGAGTAAATATTGCAATGTGGGTGGTGCAAGTAGTGATTCAGGACTCTGCATTTCAGCAGATAGAACTAATCCGACAGATAACTTGCCCACTGAAAATGCTGAACCTTATTCTCTTTGTATCAAATCTATAGATTCATCCATATTGCATGATGCGAAATTGGTTATGGATACAAGAAGAACCACCTCTCTGTGCTCAGATTATTTCCTCACTTCTGTTCAAGAAACCAAGGCAAATTGTAGTGTTTCAAAGACACCGGATTCTAATCTTTGTGCAGATTATCATATAAATGTTTTAGCTTCCTGTAATAGTATATACAAAGAGTGCCAACATCTTAGTGATGGTAATGAGTGCCTTAAAAATGAACAAAAACAACCTGAACTGTTTTCCACTGAGGATGACAGTAGAATGGAAAGTCACTCAACAGCAAGTGAAAAACCCCAATTTGCTCTTGCTAAGCAAGAGCATGCTTTTGCAGGGGCTTTTGCTGGAATATTTGTTAGTCTTTGTCTACATCCTGTTGATACAGTTAAGACGGTCATTCAATCTTGTCGTGCAGAACAGAAGTCAATCTGTTTTATTGGAAGATCAATAATTTCTGAAAGAGGTATATCCTTTGTATAAAATTGGAGGTGATTGAGACTGATCTGCTCATTTTTATTGTGAATTAGGCTTGCCCTGCTTGCTTTCTGCATATTAATTGATGTGATATTTACAGGTTTAACTGGACTATATCGTGGCATTGCTAGCAATATTGCATCTTCAGCTCCGATATCTGCCCTTTATACTTTCTCTTATGAATCAGTCAAAGAGGCTTTGCTTCCTCTTTTTCCTAAGGTAGCATGAATCTTTCAATGTGATTTGGTGTGGATCATAACTCATGGTGACACGCACCAAATTGCAACTGTGTATATTTCTGTCCCTGCATCTTATAGCTATTGTTTTTCAATTTGGAAAATAGGGGGGGAGATATAACAGGGTAACTCTCTAAGTGCAACATTAGCTCAGCCTTTTTTTCTTTTTCCTTTTTTGCAGGAGTATCATTCTTTAGCTCATTGCTTGGCTGGTGGTTGTGCAAGCATTGCTACTTCTTTTATTTTTACCCCTAGTGAGCGTGTAAAGCAGCAGATGCAAGTTGGTGTGCACTATCAAAACTGCTGGTATACCTCCAAGTTCCTGGTACTACCTTTGTCAAGATCAGAAGATCAATATGTTTAACATGTTTAACATGTTTATGTTTCTTTTCTGTTCATTTATATTTTCATTAAACAAGTTCTTCTCATTCTATGTGATTGCTATCAATTTTTCTTCTGGTGTGGTTCAATATTCTTCTCCCCATAATACTCATAATCTATTTCTGCAGGAATGCCTTGGTTGGAATTGTGAAGAAGGGGGGTTTGCCTTCACTCTACACTGGGTGGGGGGCTGTACTCTGCAGGAATGTTCCACACTCAATCATCAAGGTTAGGTCTCTTTACATGTTTCGGTTAATTGTGTTCTGTTCCACGTAACCATCATGGCTGGCTAAAAAATGGCTCTTCAAGTAGTAGAACGTTGGAAGTTCCAAGAGAGAGTGAAAAGGACCTTGCTCAACAAGTTAACATAACGTAGATATAACTCCACAAAGTACAATTTGGTTTGCAATTCTTGGTTCTTTCCCTCCACGACCCTTCCTATCTCTCTTCTCTTTAATATCCAGTAATTCCTTTAATTTTTGATTTCTGAGGCTATCATTGCCTATATGTGCAGTTCTACACATATGAAAGCTTGAAGCAAGTCATGTTGACATCATTGCAGTCCTCTGCTCAACCAAACACTCTACAGACAGTTTGTCTTCTAGGATCTTTCTTTTTTAAGATAACCTTGATATTTTGGCAGTTCAATCTTAGCATTCTTGGTTTCTGTCTTCTGAAATTGCACTTACATAGGAGGTGATGATATGATCTTCTTATTCTGCAGCTAGTTTGTGGTGGGCTAGCTGGTTCAACCGCTGCTTTGTTCACAACTCCCTTTGATGTGGTGAAGACAAGATTACAGACACAGGTCTACAACCTCTATGTATTATTTCATTATAGCCCCTGCATTTTGTTCTCTGCAAAACTAGGCCAAATACTCTTTGAGTGCAGGCTTAAAGGCTGTCTTTCCCAAGTAATTATTATATAGTTCTATGATTGCAAGAACATTTATTTGGATCTCAAATTTTGCTGAAGAGGACACTTTCAATCTTTGACATAAATTTAAAGTGCATAGATTTTATATGATCTAATCTTTCTCTGGCCAAAACCTTATAGTGTGCTTAGAAATAATGAAGTATTTGCTTAAGTTTTGGTCTTTTGGGCAATTTATACAATTAATATTCTTATATCCTACCGAAGTGCTTGTAGCTTTGTCATTGTACTAGATACTCCTGTTCTTTATGTGTTTGTTATAGTTTACTGGATTATTTGTGTTTCTTATGTGAAGGCTGTGATGCAGATACCTGGATCTTCGAGCCAATACAATAGTGTGTATCATGCCCTTCAAGATATAAGGGCACAAGAAGGTTTGAAAGGGCTCTATAGGTAACCCTCTAAGTCCATACGTTTTCACTATTATTAAGTTATATCAGTTTATAACAAAATTCCATTTATATATATTTGGGATAAGCACACACTCATTTGTGAGTCGAGATTGCTTGATATCTGACTTTGTAATTTTTAGTTACTTTTTGTTCAGCGCATCTCTTACAAACTGTTCCAACTGCTATTTTTCAATTACCCTACTAGAGTCCTGCATCCGGTTACTGCATGTATGAGGTGATAATTTTGTTTCTTAAAATGTCGGCCAGGGGATTGATTCCTAGGTTGGTTATGTATGTGTCTCAAGGGGCACTCTTCTTTGCATCATATGAGTTTTTCAAGCAGTTATTCTCTTTGGAGGTGCCACAGTTTATAATTCACAAACAGCACAAGGAAAACGAAGATAATTCTCCGTCACAATTACCATCGCCATTACCATCAGCATCAGCATCAACGGCAAGAAGGTCACCATCACCATCAGGGTTGCACAGTTTGCATTCCTAATTGTCGTGGAGGCATCGTCAGCAAGCTGATGATGACACAAGCATAAAAGCATGCAGAAAAGTGTTTTTGCTAATACAAGAGACCTTTTTGAGGTGATGCCAAAACTAATTGACTTAAGGCAAAGCCTGTAAAATAAAGTGACAAAGATTGTCATCTTGCCATACAGGTTAAGATTCTTTGTGCTAATAGAAGATGTTAATGGAAAATACAGTGCATCAGGAATGGCTGGTGCAAGCAGGCCAGTTATTACTGCCATGTTTTGAGAGAGTAATGAGATTCATTGCTGGTGGATGGCAATTAACCATATAATTGTATCATTAATGTTCCATCACTTTGTAATATGAGGCAACATTTCATTTATAGTCATCAATCAAACAATTTATTTTCTTTGGCGTTACATATTTATAGTGGAGTTATTATGGAAAGTTGTAGGTGAGGGTGGTATTAACTTTGTGTACAGATGCTCAAAGCAGTTGCAATGACTTACGCCAGTCGTTGCCCTAATTTTATGATATCTTGTTTGTATGATCGATATGGTTAAATACTACTAGCAATAAAAAAGAGATAGTTAAATACGATTTTAGCAATCTTTATCTCCGTTTTACACGAATCTCTTAAAGAAAAATTGACGCTCTCCCAATCAAGTCGTTGTAGTATAGTGGTAAGTATTCCCGCCTGTCACGCGGGTGACCCGGGTTCGATCCCCGGCAACGGCGTCTCCTTTATTTTGCTAAGGCTTGCAGGTTCCCACGTTCCTCCATTCTCGAACATTGGGATCTTTTGTAATGACCTCCCATGGGCTCCATTGAATCATGGCCATCAAATATGGTTGCACTAATTATAACCGTTAGATTTTAATCATGCACTGCAATCGGGAGGGAAAGGACTCAAAGCAAAAGGATTTTTCAGTGTGATGATGTATGCGTGTATTCTCAGCAGCAGTACTCTTCAGTCTTAAAATAACTCCGATCATTCACTTTCAATGAGTTAGGAGAAAAAGACAAAAAGTCCATTTCCGCATGGGAACATTTTTCCTTTGAAGTGAATCTATGGAGCTTTGGTGAATGCATCAGCTTCGCTGCATTTACAACATGATAATGGAACTGGGTACATCAGCAATCTTGGGGCCATTCATTTGGTGCTTGAATATACGGGAATGAGTCACGGTGATTCCAACACGATGAAGTCTGCAGTGCAGACAGACTGACAGAGTTGGTTCAGACTCCTGAGAAGAACCGCTCAGTGGTCAGCACAAAGTTTTTACATGTCCTGTGAGCACAACAGTTATTCTGGCAGACGAGTCAACAAACAATCTGAGAACACAGAGTGGATCTCTCAGAGTTGGCAGAAGTACTGAATTATTGAAAATGGGAAATAGTTAAAAGATAAAAGGATAGATAGGATAAAAGGTTAGAGGAACCGGTGAGCAACTTGAAGGAATATGAGAAAAAAAAAGGATAAAAGTAGGTTATTATTATGAAGGATACACAACTTTTTGTGAACAATGTTTTTCACTTTTAAATTACTTTGGCTCCAGACATAGTGAAAGACTTTCAGGCAAAATGTTCTACGATTTACTACTACCCTCAAAGCCTCCATAGCCTCAATATAATACAAGTACAATGAGAGAAAATTTCTATCTCCAGAAGTCTCAATAGCTACATGACTACTTTCCCCCTGCTATCAAGTTACAATATGGACAGTATGGTGTTTCTATTCTAATTCTACTTATAGAAGTGAAGAATGAATCAATAGTGCAGTGAAGAAATTCTTGTGCGAGTTTGTGGCAGAAACTTGCACATCAACCAATCTGTTAACCCATTTGACAGTATTCAAGACAGGCATTTCAGATTTACTGACTAAGATGTCGATCTATGCCGTTGAATATAGACATCCCTGTACAGTAACCCTCGATTGAAATGGCTGAATATTTCACCCTTCTCCATTTTTAGTGCTAACATTTCCACCCCTTCACTTGCTTTCAGCAACAGCCACTCCAAAAGCCACAACAGGTTTTATGGGGAGGCCATTTTAGATTCAACAAGCCAGTTGTTTCAAGTCTAAACGCGAGCAATTGGAGAGAACGGAGGGTTAATCACATAAGATGGTGGGATTGCTTCCACCTTCTTGCTGACTTTCTTCTTCTCCTCCTCTGTGACCGATTCTATTAAGAATTTCACTTCCTCCTCAATAAGCACTTTTAGTGAATTGCAGTGGGACAAATGTTTGCTTTGTGCCTCCCCAGCACAGGCGGAGGTTTCTGTACCATGCAATATAGCAACACAAATGGAAAATGCTTGTAATGTGGATAACTTTGCATGGAAATCAACTGCATACCCTCCCTCAATAGCTGTCATGGTCAATGCTGGTGTATTCTCTTTGGCACCCTAAACAAATATTAAAATTAAGTTAGTCTAGGGAGAGCTTAATCATATCTACAAAATGACCATTAATCAAAATATCTCTGAGAAGCAGAGTGCTTTCTAATTATAAATGTCATGGTAAATTCCATATCTTATTCACATGAGCATCTGAGCAACAACTCAAACCATCTTGATAGATGAGTGATTCAACTTTAAAGATATAACAGAAAAAAAGGGGTGAAATCATTTCCATTTGCTTTCTAGAACCCTGCTAAAAGACACCTAGACATTGTGTATACAAGCATATTTTGTAGTTCATTCAAACACAGTCATAACACTGAGCAGGGATAGAAATAGAGCCCTATCCAGACCACAAGCTGCAGATGGAGCAGAATCTCCAAGATCAAATCCTCTCATCTGGAGTCAGCATCCTAAACCATTTCTTTTAAAAGATATTAACATGATCCTTATCCAATAATCTGACAGTGAAATTTTCATCATGAGCTATGTTTGTGAGAAATTTTCTTTGGCATAAAACTAAAACCTTACCTGAAGAAACAGTTCAAAAGGCCGCTCACTGTCCACCAGTGGTTGATCTTCAGAACAATTTATACTGGGATTGCCAAAAACTACAAGGGGACAGGCCATGTCCCAGCCACCACAATCACAGCCTCCACCCATCCTCCACCTATCCAGTAGTGATGAAGGACCCTGGGTCTCAGAACTAGGTAAGCCATGGTTTCCAGTTGGAATAACCACCTTCACTTTTTCTTGACTCCCGCTGTCTTGTATCTTGCTTTTACTTTCCTCAACCATAGAGACATTGAGCATGTTCAAATGCCTTGCATCACCTATTTTATCCCCTCTTCTGTATTTTAAGCTCTCTCTCGTCTTAAATGGTACTTGAATGACTATGGCTGCAATTTCAAGGTTCGGATGCAAATCGGCAAGTAACCGTGGAGTTGATCTACTTGGGGATTCAAATTCATCACGGTCAGAAGCAAGATTTAAGTGATCTCTAAGCTTCACCAAATTAGAGCCATCATCTGATTCATAACATCCCATGGCCAAGCCTGGACTAGAACAAGTAGAGGTTTTATCAAACCCAGGGGATCCTTGGACTGAAACATGTTGTCTTGCATGTGCGATATCAAACAAAACAAACTCCGTAACCATGGAGTTGTCAAGAACCCCACCATCTTTAATTTCTGAGCACAAACAACAGGAAACTTGCATCTGCGCAACAATTGAAGAATCTTTGCTACTATCAATCAATCCCCATATGCTGGCATTGCTCTTCTTTCTATTGCCAATAGAGTGAAAGGTATACACCCAATTGAAAGCATTATCTGCCTTCCATGTTTTAGCAAGAAACACATCTTCTGGTTGATTCATTGAGAACTCAAAAAATGGTGCCCCATGTTTAACTCCCACCTTCAGACAACCATGTAGGTGAACTGGTGAGATTGCCACTGGTGACTGAACGCTATCTTTCTTGATAAACTGGGAATCCAATTCTGAATTCTGAGGTGAATGTGAGAAGTCATGCAACAAAGATTTTCTAAATGTCCTATTTCTTCTCATGTTTTCCATCCCAATAGTTTTGAAATTATCAGCTTCTGCTACATAACCCAAAGGACTTCTCAGAGACTTTGATTTCATGAATGGATCAAACATCTTTCTAATAGGGCTAAATCTGGCCCTTGAGCTGGCTTTGGAGAACCAATCACTTTCTGATGAAGAGGGTGAATAAGGCACTTCGACCTTAGCAGAGTGTGACTTATGCAGATTGCTAACACTGTCTTTTCCAACAAGGTCATTACCGTCATCTAAAGGACTGACAACAGGTTCACACCCAAAACTAATGTCCCTCTTGCTATCTGTCCCTACAGTTTCCGCAGACTGTTTTCCTCTCTGATTTGAACTTAGACAGATTTCAATGAAGCCATCTGATGTGCATGTTTCTAAGCATGGTTTGGTAATAGATGCTGATTTCAAGTTTGAGCCACAGGACATCACTGGATTTCTTTCTTGTGAGCTTTCCTCTTCTGAGTTACAAAGGGAATCGACAATTCTGAAGGAAAAAGAGCTGTCACTACTACACGATAATTCAATATTTCTCCTTCCCTCGACAGTATCTGTTTTTTTCATTTTCCTTACCTCTTTGGAGCTTTGGTATATGGAACCTCGCTTCAGCTCAGCATTACCTTCTGGCCCAACAGGTCTAGACGGAATGCTCTTACAAGAAGCACTGCAGTAGCGACGAAAGCTGATTTCAGTAAACGCCTCCTTTGCCCTCAATAAATCATCTTTATGACCAGGTTTTCCTTTTGGATATCTCTTTTCAATGTTTGAACATTGTCGAGGAGTAGGAAGAACAGTATTAGGACTCAGACCTAATGTGCAGTTCTTGTCTAAGTCTGAATCCATCTCTAGTCCCTTTGATACATTTACAGTCCTGCAAGAAATGCAAGTCATATAAACATAGGTTTGACATACCAGCTAAACAGAATATTAGCATCTTCACTAAGGCAGGGGAAAATTAATTTCCTAATTAATATTACCAAAGTAGGATCAAGATATGCCCCATTAATTGGCATATGCTTGACTACATATATACAGAAGCAGATTTGTAGTGAAAATTTTAAATCATGCATAATAACAATCAATATAAAATTGATTCATTGTGAACCAAGTCGCCCCATGCTATAGTCTCACGCTTATTTGACCATATCCTATAAACCACCAAAAAGACAATGTTTCCAAAATAGTTGAAAGAAAAACAGCCCTTGTCCTTGTACAAAAGAAAAAATAAAGAAAAGAAGAACAGAAAAATATCAGTAATGAGGCTTCAATTAAGATCTTAATGTTCAAGCAAATACATTGTCAACAACAAACTCAAAATCTCAGAATCACATACAAGCAAAACTGATATGTTCGTGTAAGAGAGAGAGGAGGGAAGAAAGAAAAAAAAAAGAATTATGAAACAAATAATCTCCAAATCTTCTCATCTTGAAGCAGTAGAATAGTGATCTTAACTTTAGAAATAACCTTCATTTGGAAAAGCATGCATCCCATCAACGACTTTAAACTTTAATGTCAGAAAAACTTGAAAAAAAACCTGGCAGTGATTTCATAAAACCAAAAACCTTAAACCAACAAGGAATCTCGTGATCTCTATACACACAGGAAAAATGAGTAAAGTGACAGGGATAAAGGCTATATACAATTATTAAAACAAAAAAAAAACTTTATTTTCACTTGCATTCTAAGCCAACAAAAAGTGGCAAAAAACAAATTGCTAGAGAAAATGGGCATACCCCACTAGATCTTACAGAAGTGATTTCAAAGGAAAACCCAACAAACTGTAAGTAGATGCAATCATACCCCTCAAAACTCTTGAGCTCAAAGTCTCTTATGAATCTACAAGAAGCAAAGAAGAAAACACCAACAACCCTTCTTTAAAGAAGACTCAGACATGACCCTCAAAGAGTACTTACAATTCTAAAAGAACCCAACAAAACAAAAGTACAATGTAAAAGCAAAAAAAAAAAAACACAACACAACAAGAACTGGTCCAATAACTACAAAAGCACAATAGATACAAAAAGTATGAGTTGTTTGAAAGAGAAAGAAACATGAGAGAGAGAGAGAGAGCATGCCTTGCCTGTGTCGTAGATTGTGTTTAGAAAGAGAGTGAGAGTGAGAGTGAAGTGTTAGTATTTGTTTTCTCTCACATGAGCTCTAAGGGAGACAATGAGCTGCTCAGTTTCTGTTCATGTCTTGTAAAAAAGCAATCTTGCTTCAAGTCATCATATGCTTGCTGGCCATGCTGTAGATGTGTGTGATTTTCTCTCTTTTAGCTTTATTATTCTATTTTATTTTTTTTGGCTAAATTACACCTTTTTCAGCTAAAGATTAGGGTAAGTTTTAATGAGGGCACCTTTTTAAAAAGACAATAATAACCAAAAAATGATATTGGTCTCATTTCATTATCATGGGTAGTTTTGGTTTTTCACTTCAGCCATTAATCAAGAGGATTGGTTCCTTGCTTAAAAAGAGGTCGGTGTCTGTATCACTGGCACAGTACTATTATCTTATAGCTTTGGGAACTGCACATTATCAAGACTCGATTCCTATAATTAATTCAACTGTTTCCAACAATTATAATCACTTAAATTAAGGCACTAATGTTATAAATCCGGATCTGCCCCACTGTAATTACAATAAACCCCCTAATAATACATGGTGTGGACCAAATTAATTGACAAAAATACCCCAAATATGTTAAAAGACTAATAATAATGTTCCAACGACTTGGTAAAGAGCTCTACAGTAAAATGGTCCTGGTGTTCAGTAATAAATTTTGGAACCACATTTGTCGTGACAAAGTTAAAGTTAATTATGTTTCAATGGGACAAGAGGATGAAGGATTAGACCCTTCCTTCCTATCTTTCAATGTGTCCTAAAATCAAATTAATGAGGTAGGACAAGACATTCAAGTCTCTTAAATTGAAAGGCAAAATTCAGCTGGATATTTTGTTTTGGGGTGGTAAAGCAATCAACCATGATTTGTTGGACAATTTAAGGACAAAATGCTAAAAGGTTTTAGTGTAAGGTAGACCCAATTTGATGCTTAACTTTGTTTCTGGAAAGACAAGGACAATTATTCAGCTTCAAAAGTAGTTGGAGAGAGAGATATGTGAGAGCAAGTGGCACTCCCTTATAGGAAGTGGGATGACTGGTGGTGAAGGAGGAAATGGTAAATTCAGGGGGCGTGCCTGTCATGGGTTTAGGCGGGAGGAAGCGAACGCAGGGCGGTCGATCACGTCTAACCCACGGGAATCTGCTGCCTGTTTATGTTGGGCATTTCTTTACTCTGATTCTTTGGTTTTTGCTACTTTCGATCGCTTATTTTCTTACTCTTTTGTTTTTTTTTTTTTGGACAAAATATTTATATACTTTATAATTTTTTATTAAAAAAATTTATTTAAATAAAAATCATATAACAATCAATAAATCAAATACTAAAATATATTTATATATTTTACTATTTAAAATCAGTAAATTATGCCTCTGAAGTTGAAATAATTACTCGAGAATTGAGATGGGTGCGGCGGAGATTGCAAAGGTTGGTTGCATGGCTGCAAGGCTAAGAGGATTTTAACTTTTAGTTGGTAAATGAAAAGAAGAAATTCTTGCTATAAAAGCAGCATTAACATTTCGCAATTGGCAACCAGCAGAAAACTGGGCATGGCCGCCATATTTATCCATGCAAAGATTTGATTGATTGCGTGAGCGCCAACCTACGCAACCCCACTCCATAATGTTAAGCCTTCTTCAGAAGGCTCTTGCCACGTTTCTTGGAAAAAGTTGAATAGAGAAAAAGCAGCATCCACTGTCATCCACCCCCATAAGAGAAATCAGAAGAAGAATTTGGTGAAAATGGGTACAAGCACAATGCAAATCATGACTGAAAATTAGTAAATTGATATTTAAAATCCAAGCTCCGGTAAGATTCAATGTTGTTACAATCACTTCGTAAAAGCTAAAGTGCTGCCACCGTTCCTATACATTCAGTCAATTGTAGAAATATCACTTAATTCAACTTGAGTTCTGAGAATAAATTCAGAATTCTTGCTGAAATCTCAATCTTTCCCTAACCTCCATATAGATGTATGTATATGCCTATAACGAAATGACTAACTAATGGTAAAAACCCTGCTCTTTGCTTAACTACAACACTAGGTCACATACACACCATTTAACTGTACAAGATCAAATTTGCTTCTAACACCCAGCAAAATTCCTATTCCACCTTTTTTGTTGATTCAGACTCCCGGGGGCTAACCAGCTTCTTCTCAGGAATTTCAAGCTTAGTCATGACTGATGACTCCCGAGGACTAACCAACTTCTTCTCAAGAATTTCGGGCTTTGTCATGGCTGATGCTCCCATGCGAGCTCCCCTGACAGAACTTGATGGCTCTATTGTAAGTGATGATGCCTCATCTCTAGAAGCATACCAGGAATTCCCACAAGCAATACATTCCAACTGAATCCCCAAAGGAAGTTCAAAGAATGTTAATCTTTAAAGCTAAAATGAATAACTGTATGTACATTCAAGAAAAAATTTACACTGTTTAAATAACCTGGAATTTAGGTTCTTAAACAGCGAGAGACTTTATAGTGAACATAGTAAATAGAGTACTAAGCTGCATGCGGTTACCTCAAGGTATCTAGTCAACATGGCCAGCATAAAATGATGCCAGTCCAACAAACCAAATACTTGCTAGAAATTCCAGTCATAACACTCATGCTTAAGTTAATCCATAATTGGCATCTTTAACTTTTTTTTGTAAGCTTAGTGTCTCTTAATCTCCTTCCCCATCCCTAATATATAATTATCCTTTTTTATGCTTATTATACACTATATGCTCTATCTTGTCAAATTTATAAATATTAACTCAATTAGACATTCAAAGAAGCAAGACCCATGTCTATATCCAATTCAGACAACAATGAAACTATTACAATACCATCTTGTAATTCTGATATATACACCTGTGCCTACATTATGCTCTTACAAGAAGTAATTTCTACCCAAAAAACAATGTCCTCTTGCTCAATAAGGTCAGTAAACATTTAGTCATCAGTCTCAAGGTTTGTACAAAATTCTAAAACTCAAAACACAAGCAGACAAATCTACAAATAAGCATGCATGATCCAGAGAGATGTTGACAACATTATGCATAGAGATCCAAACCCATGTCTGCAGTTTCACTTATAACATGTCTTATACATCAACAAATTCAATAATTAGTGCATGTAAATGTCTAGCTAGACGGAAACACAGAGAAAGAAATACTAGCCCAATCAACTAAGTACCATCAGAGAAATCACAGCTTCTTCTACTTAATAAAGTTATAGGGATTGAATGGGAGAAGAAAGTTTGAGATAACCTGATAGCGGTCTCCATGTCCTGCTTGAATAATGTCCCTTAGGCCGACTTTAAATTCCATGCATCTTGAGCACCGAGCATCAGTCATCTGCTTTCACAGTAATAGAACAAGCAGTGAGCACATGTCAACCATGCAACAAACACTGAGTAAATCTTATGCCTAAACAAAATTCCGGAAGAAAGAACTGACCTGCATGCGCTCTGATTCATCTGGCTCTTTTTTCGCTGTCTCTTCTGCGGTTAAACCCTCCTAAAATTGAAATCATTAGTCACTATATTTTTTCACTCATTATAAACCGACGTCCTAAAGGCATATCAATACAATAAAGTGAGGGATTAATAATTACATGCCATAGTTCTTTATAGAGTTAAAATTGACTATAGATGAAACCACAAATAAGATAAGTATCTACAAATGTGTGTGTGCGTGTGTGAAAATTCTATTTTCCAAACTTCTACAAGGTATATTTCATTGCATTTCTATCACTCTTCTAGATATAAGAGAAAGAATTAAGGTATATTTTGCAAGTAGAATTGGGTATGAAAGAAACAGTCACAAAACATTGTAAGTTTTAACTTTTTTCAGACACATGGCATGAAAAAGTCCTTCATATTGGCATCACTCAGTAGCCATGTTCAAGACATTTCCACCTACATGAAGTAGCTATCAATCTCTATAAAAAAAATCTGTTAACAAAGAGATATCAACAACCAAGTAAACTACACCTTTAACTCATTAGGTGACATGTTAAGTATTGTTGAAGGTTCCAGTTCTCCATTTAATAGACGTCTCGCCAGCAATGGATTGTTCTGCCGAACAGAATAAATGACAAAATCAATATCATCAGAAATGCAAGCAAGGAAAGATATGCATAGTGGTCCATATGTAGAGAGCCCTCTACCTTCAGATTGAACACAAGCTGGCGTAACTTCTGGTTATATTTCTGGAAATCAGAGGAAAGAGAATCATGTGAGGCCTTCTCAAGTGCAGTTACAGCAGGAACAGCAGCATCTGGCCACAGAAAAGACTTGCCACCCTGCAAATAAAAAAAGACAATAAATATTGTCTGAATCATAATATCTCTTTAATCATCAATTACCATTCAATCCTTATTAGTCATCACATCTGGAAAAAAACAAAATGTCCCTACTAGAGAAACTAAACATAGGCAAGAAAACACTGCACACATTTAAAGTCTTTTCTAGAGATCCATTCGCAGTTCCAGAACTCTTAGTGCCTTTTTCACGTTCCACGCTATCAGAACCACCTTTTCCTTTGTCATCGATATCAGGAGAACTACACATGTACTGAACTCCTTGGAGAAGCCTCTCCATCCACTTATCACGATGGGTTTCTCCAGTTAGGACCTTAAATTTTGACAAAATTGTGTAGTATTCAGTGGTATTACTTGTACAGCTTCCAGGAGTTTCAGCTCTGAGATGTTGATCAGACCTGGTAGTTCCTTCATCATCCCTCGAAACATCAAGAGGTGCCATGTTCTTTTTCCTAAGAGTTCTTTTTGCCTTCAACTGATCTTCCTGATCAATAACAGCAGCAGTATCGTCTGTCTCAATGTCAGGGAGATCTCCCAAACGTGATAAAGTTTTCTGAACAAGAAGATCAATCTCATGCTGTTTATTATCCTCATAATCTTTATCAGTTAGTTTCCAAAGCTTTCGCTCCACAGTGTCATAAACTTTCTGCACAATAAAACCTGGATGCTGTTTACGGTTTGGAAGTTGCTTGTGTATGGGAACAAAGTGCACCACACACTTGTGCATCACAGATTCTGCTGGAACCTCATCCCGGTGGAAGCTATAGAACAGCTCTCGTGTATCACGCGATTGCCAGCTTCCCCCACCTTTTCTCTCAGCCTCTTCAGGGCGATAAAACCACTGCCCAGTAACCATAATGCTCCCATCTTTAGTCTGACTAATGTCCTATCAATAGACAAAAGCTCCATTATATGCAAAGGAAAGTGACTCAAAAGCCTTTACAAAGAAAATAAAAAGGAAGCACCAGGCAACACAATTACCTTAATGATTGCGACATAAGGCTTCTGTTCCTTATCTTCAGGAACCAAAAGAACAGGATCCTCCTGTAGACCAGCACTAGTAAGCATAAATAATGACACAAAGATGCAAAGGTATAAATTAGCAAGAAATAAACCCATGTTTCCAAATTACTGAAGGAAACAGAAAAAAACAGAATGCCACCACAATGGGCCGGAAGAATCTTCAGTAGGTTTTCTCAAAGCACTTCTACAAGATAAGTCTCTTAAAATTCACAAAAGATTAGTTCTGCCAGCGTGCACAAAGACCACACTCTTTTCTCACCCTACTGCTATGAGCTCCATCCAGATGCACCAAAAAAGCAACAAAATAAACATAAAGGGCATATTGATTACATTTATCTACGAAGGTAATCACAAAACAAAAAAAAGGAAGCAAAACTCATTAAACCAAGAATCAGTATTTCACTTCAGCTTTCTTTGATCACGATCCCTGAGAAGCCACAGAAAGTATTAACACCATTCACAAACTTGGAAAGGCAAGAACAAATGAAAAATCCCAACATCTATGAAACAAATGTACAAAAAAAAAAAAAAAGCCTTCACTTTTCCCCAATTACAACTGAAAATAACAGAAAACACAAATTGCCAAGAAAGATTAAAACCAACAACCCTTTCCATCAAACTCTTCATAATTAAAAAATGAACCCAGGGCAAGCAAATAAAGCCACTCAAAAACGCAAAAGTACTTGATAAATTCATTAAAAACGTTGAAATCAACTAACCAATCGCACAATTAAACAACAACGAGCAAGTCAGATCATTAATTCATATAAACAGGAGTGAGAAAATTCGAAACCCTAAAATCCCACAAAACATATCAAACAATGCAGCAAAAATACCACAAATACTAAGAAAGGAAACCCCTGAATTCAGAAGGCAAAAAGTTAAACGAGATTCCCAAGGAAGAAAACCCTAAAAAACTAAAACGCAAAATTGCACTTACGAGATCATATCGATTGCCATCAAACTCAAAAGCTTCATAATGACTCCTCCTTCCTCTCCCTTTTCCAGAAACCCTAACAGATTCACCTATCGGCTTCGCATCCTCCTGTACTCCCTCTTCCTCCTCCTCCTCCTCTTCTTCTTCTTCTTCTTCATACTCGTCTCGCCTCTTCTTCCTCTTCTTCTTCTTTAATTCCCTCTTCTCATCCTCCTCATCGTCCTCCTCTTGTAGCTTCATTTTCTTCCTCTTCCTTTCTTGCCTCTTGTCTTCGGACCGAGACCGTCGAGTGGGTAACGGGGCTTCGTCCTCGTCGCTAGTGGACACCTGAGCGAACCTTCGGTTCCCCATTTCCGACCAAGGCTGTTGATTGTCACGGGTTTTTCAAGTGGTTTTTACAAGTGATGATTAGTGGGAAGTTTTGGAAATGCAGAGATTGTACAAACTATAAATTGAAATTTGGGCTTCTCCAATTGTGAGCCCGCCACGCCCAACAATTGCTCCCTTTCTGACGTTTATATAAATTATGGATTTTGGCTTCTGAAGTCGGGCTTTCTTTCTTTGTTATATTACGATTATGCCACTCCTTTCCAGATTCTTCCATAGTAATTAGCAGCTATGGTTACTGGTTAGATTAGACACCCTCTGTTAAATAGAACACGTTGATAGAATTTAATTTTAGGTCAAATTATATAATTAATCTTGTAGTCTGTCAAAATAATTAATTTAATTTATTTATAATAATTTATGAAAATTAAATATCATATTTTTTTTAAATTAATAATATCAATCTATTTTCTTTTAATATAATCTAATTATTTTTCATTTTTTTGTTAACATAATCGTATTTAATTGTAATGATATAATATCAAATTTGATAATATAATGATTATGTCAACGTGATGTTTCCATTCAAATTTCTATTTCTATTTTCCAGTTGATTTTTCGATCTTATCATAATTTAAAGTAATTTCAAAAAATCCAATTCGATTGTGGCATTAGTTTGAGGAATAATTGAATTTGGATTTTTTAATCGTCTCAATAAGCTTGTTCGAAAACTTTATGCAATTCTTGGATGAAGGCCACATTAGTACAATTAAATACCATGTCACATAAATAACAAAAAAAATTTAACAGCATTAATAGTTGGACTGACAAGGTTAATTTTAAAAAATCAATAATTCAAATTTTACAAGTTGCTGTACATGTATTAAATCCATCATTTTGAGAAAATATAAATAGTAACTAAAAATTTGACCTAATTTTATAATATCTAAAAAAAATTATTTCACATTTTTTTTATTGAAATAAATTTTTGAAAAAAAATCATTGAAAATTTCAAAGCCAAATTAAAATCATTAAATTTAATAGAACATCTAATAAGAGTCAATAAATTTCAAAAATTCAAAAATCAAATCAACATTTTGGGATAAATAAAAAACAATATATAAGCACTTAAAATGGTCATCTGAGAAGTTATAACATTTTACCAATCAAAATCCCATGATGATTCCAACTGCATTTGCCAATGTTCATGTATGATATAAACAAATTTCCTTCCTTTTTAACAAGCAAAGAAACTCATTCCAAACAACAAAATGCTCCTTGTTAAACTAAAACAGAGCTTTCTAATTTGCTTACAAAAAGAGTATATTACAACTCACTATCCTATGAACAAAACTTGAATCTATCTGTAATTGTGTCTCCTTCCAGTATTGATCTCCTGGGGATCACTTGTCATGAATCACAATAAAGATCATCCTACTTACAACAAGAATGGGATTCTAGAATTGGGAACGTTGCCATGATTGTCCTCACTGCTCTGAACAATTTCGCTAAGGCTCATCCACGATTTTCTCTTCCTTTTACTTGAAGTACCAACAGTTTTTCCAGCATCTAGTGTCGTGGCATTGTTTTCGGATTCAGCTGGTCTTTTAGACCCAGATTTGCTCCTGTTTCTCTTCTTCCCATCCAACAAAGTCCTACCTCTTGACAAAGGAGTCATTGGACCATCTGCGGTTGGATCTTCAGCAGCTATTGTTGGTAAACTTATTACATCCACCTTATTAAGCTCATCTTTGTTTGTTTCTTTACCTGAGCTGGTAACATTCTTAAGTCTGGACTTGACAACTTTGGGGATTGAAGATGCTTTCAACTTAGGAGGGTACACCTCTTTCATGTGGCCTTTTGGAGTCCCTCTTTTCAGATTCCGATGTGAACAGAAGTGGCAGTTGTAGACCACACTATTCTGAGTCAAAATATGAGGTTTCTTACGTGTATGCCTTGCTTTTGCTCGATTCTTTTCAATGCGGACAGTGCAATTAAAGCCAGGCTGAAGAATTGTCTCACATCTGCAAAACATTAAAGTGAAAATCAAGGGCAGCACATATTTCCTACTGCATACAACATGACAGTAGAGTAAAAGAGAATAGGTTAAGGAAAATTCAATAACCTAGATACTCAAAGTCAAGAAACAGATCTGCCAATCTAATTTTGATATTAATGTCTTTATTCCTTAACAGTAAGTATCGATCAAATCTAAAAGGCTAAAAGAAACATCTAGATAGCATTTCTCTAGCTCATACAAGATAAGACTATAAATAATAAAGTTGTCACCAATCAGTTGATCCATTGAAATGAATGCTCATAAGGAACCCAACATGTTAGTTTATTCGCTTGAAGATCAACATGGGAGAAAATAAATTGCAGATTATGTCAACCTGATTGACAATGAAGCATTATGTATAAAGTTCAATCTAGAACAGACATTTAAAATAGACACGTATGCCTAGTATCAATAAGTAAACAAGAAAGCAAGGCAATAGTTCTTAATATTTTGAATGACAGGGAACCCTTTTTTCCCCTTGCATGGAGCAGATTCACTCATTCAAAACCAGTCACATCTCAGCTCAAACTGGTGCACCATGAACCTCCCTCAACAGGACTTACAACTAGCAAACCCTGCATCAAACAATTTACAAACTTGAACTGGGGAATCCAACAAAGAACCTTTTCCAGGTAGTTGTCAATTTCATGTAGCCGATGCATCTTACCGCGATAGTGTGCATACCAAGGTCTAAAGAGTAAACGCTAAGGTCTATCTAGTGGTTACAGTCAATTGCATTCTGCTATTGAAGTTGAAGCTGATTCAAGGACAATGCAATCCGGAGCATCTTAAACAACTTTTATTTACTTCTAGAAGTTGGATTCTAAAATTTCTGAAGCACATGTAGAGTTCAGTGCCAGAAGATACAAACAAATTTGACTCTTTGAAACTAAAAGGAAAAGAAAGAAATAGTAACCTCTGGCAAGGAAAGAGAGAAGGGTCAGGGGGGATTGATGAGGCCTCCCCATCAGCGGCCAATTGGTGCCCAAAAAAGGAAGCCAAAGAAGGGATTGAAGCTTCGCCACTTGCCCACACCGCTAGCTTTTGCAAGTGCTCGTGTTTCAATATAGCTTTAACGTTGGTCGATCCGCCTTTGGTTTGCTTCCTGCCGCTCGCTTCTTCTCTCAGTGAGATTGTCTTTTGGAACTTTGATGGCCTGTTTGCTGCTCTCTTTACGCCTCCTCCTCTCTTCCCCATGTTTCCGCTTCCTTTCTCCGAAGAATTTCGTCGAACAGTTAATAGTCTAAAGATCTCCGTAAGCTTTCCCAGCGTCCTTCTGTTCGATTTTTGTTTTTAATCTGAAACCTCACGAGAAGTACGCCACGTTAGAAAACAATCTGTTCGTAAAACGACGCTGTCTATAAAACGTGTCGTTTTAAACGTAGTGCAAGCAGGAAAGCGAAGCTCTCATCGTGGAGAAAACGATGTCGTTTCATTTTTCTGCTAATTAAAATTTTTTAATATTTTATATCAATTTACTTGCATAATGTGCAACGTATCAAGATATTCCTTTTTTTTTTTTTTTTTACTTTTCATACATTAAAATATTGAACTAATACTTTTATGATTATTAGTTTTCATTTATTTAAGTGCTTAATATAACTTTCACAAATGATTTTTTCACCCGATTAAAATATACGACATAATCTAGATGTTGTAATAACATAAAACTAGTGAAGCAAGGAAGATCTTGTGAGTACGTCCAAAGGGTAGTTGGCGGAGAAATATTGCGTTTACGTGGAAACCTTTATAAAAGATAAAATCAACAAATTCAACATGCTGTGATCAGCTGACCATAGAAATTGCCGGAACACAAAGCAATTTAATATACCCAAATGATCCAAGCGTGGCACCATTAATTAACTTGAGAAATGCCAGTGGCGATAGATTTGCATGGGGAGTTATGATTTTTGAAACAGTTCATGCAGATAGTGAGCTCATCCCCTCATCTTTAATTTGATAACTTTTTGATGATCTGTTTTTTGAATCCTCTCCAAATTTATTTCCAGGCATTATCTGTGTGACCCCATGCAGCAGTATATCTAAGGATGTTGGGATACCTTCTCAAAGCTTGAATTTCTCAGAAACTATCCCGCATATTTTTCTTCAAGATATGTCATCACATTTGGACGTGGGTGCTGCGTATTGCAGGAAGAGGAGGAGAGGGGGGGAGAGGGTTTTCAAGTTCAGGAGTTTCGGTGAGAATGGTTGTCCTGTTGAGTTCGACGGGTCATTCAGGGATAACGTGAAAGCACTTCTAGAATATGGGCATCTAGAGAGCAATCTATGCAATGGAATGTTGAGCTGGTCGTTTCAGCTCGAAGTCCACCGCCATCCTCCTTTGCATATACTGTTGTTTGTTGTTGAAGAACCGATTGAGGCATCGATTAGCCTTTATTGCAAGCATTGCCAATATGTTGGTGAAGTCTGAATTCTCTCATCTCATTTTTCACTTTCGTCTTTTCTTTATACTAATATATCCACTAAATTGAGCTAGCCAGGAGTACTTCTTTCACATTAATTACTTAGTATGTAATAATTAATATACAATACATAATCAACAATAAAATATGTACGAACATAATATTAATTTAGAGTTTTAGTCACATAGGATCAGGCTGTTGTTATTCATAAATAAAATTTAATTGATTATAAATAATGCTGAATGAACTATCAATTAAATATACTTATTAATGATGAGAAAGAATTTTTATGCATTATGATCATTATCAACTCATTTTCATTCTTTCTTCCAAAAGATTGTTTCCATTGTATTATGATGGATTTTTTGTAACGTAAACAATTGAGCTGAAGTAATTTGTAATTCAGCAAAGGAATTTAATGATATCCTTTTTCATGTTAGCATAAACAAATTGTAAGTAATTTCATCATGGCACAGGCTGGGGTTGCCACATGATCTGCAATAAGAAGTACCATTTCTTGCTACCATCTAAAGACGCCGTAGCTGCATGTTTCAGTTGTGGAGAAAGCAACCTTGATGACCCAAACCCAGAAAAGGGTAAGTTCAATTTAGTGGAATTACAAGGCCATATAATGCACGGTGTCTTTCATTCAAATGGATTTGGGCATTTGCTATGTGTCAACGGGGTGGAGATGGGTTCGGACTTGGCTGGCTACCAGATCATGGATTTCTGGGATCGTTTGTGCACCGGATTGCAGGCTAGGTAATTAGCTTGTTCTTGTACATTTTCTTTGCATACCACTGAGTTCATGAAAAGTTAACTTGGAAAACTGTCGTTGCATAATTTCTTAGGAAAGTGAGTTTGAATGACACCTCAACGAAAAGAGGCATGGAATTGAGATTGCTTCATGGAGTAGCATATGGCGAGCCATGGTTTGGTCGGTGGGGATACAAGTTCGGGCGCGGATGCTATGGCGTGAATGAGCCAATTTATCAAAAAGCCATAGAAGCAATCCAAGGGATGCCTTTGTGCTTGCTAAATCACCATCTCAGCATTTCCTATAATGACATTTCGGTCATTTTCTCCAGGTATCAAGCATTAGCTGACCATTCCATGGTGACCCTGGGAGACCTGTTTGATTTCATGTTAGAGCTGAGGTCACGACTTCCAAAAGAAAATTCTTTTGATTCCTGTAACCCTGCAATCCTGGTGGAGACTAGCTGCAGATGGTCTCCCAAGCGAGTTGAAGCAGCCACTCGGGTGATTGTTGAAGCTCTGAAAAGGGCTGAGTTCAGGTGGGTTTCAAGGCAAGAAGTAAGGGATGCTGCACGAGCTTATATTGGTGACACAGGATTGCTAGATTTTGTTCTCAAGTCACTTGGAAATCACATAGTGGGAAACTACTTGGTTCGTCGTTGCTTAAACCCTGTAACAAAAGTACTGGAATATTGCCTGGAAGATATTTCCACAGTATTTCCAAACCCAGAAACCCTCCTTTTAAGCAATTCCAAAGTAATACCTAGCTGTAAGATTACAAAGGCTCAACTAATGAAGGACATTTCTTTTTTGTTCAAGCATATCTTGAAAGAGCAGAAGCCAACACTGAGCACAGGGATTTTTTCTGCAATACCAATGGCAGCCAGGATAATTCTTGACACCAAATTTCTTGTCAAAGAATATAGTGAAGAACTTTCTATGAAAGTCAAATCAAGCTTGAATGGGAAATTCAAGCTCTTCTGTGCAGTTATATTGAGAAACGATGAAGAGATTGATGAAGGGTTAAAGAAACCAATGCTCCCATGTGAATGTGTCACTTTACAAGAAACTGCTACAATCAAAGACCTTAAGCTAGAGGTGGAGAAGAATTTCAGACAAGTGTACTGGAGACTAAGGAGTTTTGCTGTGGAGACCATAGTGAATTTGAATGCCAAGGGATCAGATTTGGTCCTTGGATCCGTTGAAATGGGTCAGAAAATTGTTGTTGTCGGCAGCAACGATGATCAAACAGGAATGATCATGAATGAGGTAATGATGTGTGAATGGGGACTAAACAGTCGCATTGTGGAATGCCCTTGTGGAGCCAAAGAGGATGATGGTGAACGGTTAATCTTATGTGATATCTGTGAAGTTTGGCAGCATACCAGGTGTGTTAGAATTCCAAATAATGAAGAAATCCCACATGTTTTCCTCTGCAAACAATGTGAGGAAAAGATTATGTTCTTGCCTTCTCTACCATAAACGTAACCCTACACATGTTTTAAGAACATTTATACTATCCTATTTTCTAGCTTTTGAAGTGGAAAGACCCACAATTCAATTGTCTTCTCCAATGTAATTTTTTTTATAAATACTATACAACAAAGATATACGGAGATCATCTTTTATTATATTTACTGTAAATTTAAACGTTTTAAACAAAACAAATACTGCTAAATCCCAAGAATATGTACTAACATAGAAAAAAAAAAGCAAAAAAAAAAAATTTCCTAATGTAGTGAAAAAAATCTTTCCTAGTTCAAGTATGTAAAAATGAGTTTTTATTACCGACAGGTGTACGGCTAGCCGGTCACTTCCACCGGCTTTCTTTTCTACTCCTCTTCAAAGATTTTAAACCACACGCCAAAAAAACGAAATATGAAAAAGAAAAACGAAACCAACTTCTTCTTGTAGGAACAAATACAAAGGGAGATTCACAGATTCTTAATTAAAGAATCTAGTTTCTCTGTTTCTGTTTCTTTGTCTCACATTGGTCCGCGCTTCTTTCCTTCCAGGTTATTCTTTATAATCCATTTTATTCCTTTAATTTGTAATAGCTATAATAATAGCAATCATTGCATGTTTTCTATTTATATAATCTTTTTTAGCCTTTCTCTTGAATTTTCATTTTTTGGGTTTTTATTTGTATTGCTTTTTGTACTTGTTTTTTCTGTTTAATTTGAGAATTTGGTTTGTTTGTGATTATGGGTTATGCCTAGTTTGACTTGACGGGGATGTTAGAAGTATTAGCTTGATAATGAAGTTGGCATTTTTATTGGGAGAGGAGCTGTTTTATTCTTTACCCTTTTATGGTCAAAGAGAAAGAATCATTTGAGAACTTCTTTTGTGCAGCTTTTCCCAATAGCTTGGTCGTTTTTGGATGTTGATGTGTGAATTGGGGTGCATATTTGAGGAAAGTTGAATTTTTCTGGTTCTTGATCAATAATTACCAGTTGCATTCTGCAAAGAACCAAGAAAGATCTGGTGGCATAAGGGGCATTTGTCAAGTTTGAGTTTTAGTCGGGGCTGGACATACTATTACTTTGGTAAACATGGCGGTGATGGAGTCAATTGCAACAACATCTCTTCTTGGGCGTCAGCCTTTGCATGGTAGAATTTCTGTTAGGGATATTTCCTGCAAACAGAAATCAAGTAATTGTCAGTTCCCAGTAACAGAATTTATTGGTAGAAGAATTGTTCTTTCTCATCCTTTACCAAGATTGAAAGTTGATAGGTTAGTTAATTCATTGGTAAAGGCTCGTGCAATAGAGCTGACAAAGGAGGTGCACGCATATAGAGAGGAAGAAAGAACTCAAAGGAATCGGAACTATGGAATTGACACTGGTAAAGATCGAAAACCTAAATTTTGGCCGCCAGAGAATAGAGCTGATCGTCCTTCCTTACATAACCCCTTATTTCGTCAAGAAAGGATGGGTTGTGGTTGGTTTGCTGCTATATTTGAATGGGAAGGAGTTATAATTAAAGATAACCCTGAGCTTGAGGAGCAAGCCTGGTTGGCTCTCGCTGAAGAAAAAGGCAAATCCCCTCCTCCAGCGTTTACACTCAGAAGAATAGAAGGGATGAAGAATGAGCAAGCAATTTCTGAAATTTTGTGCTGGTCAAGAGACCCGGCAGAAGTGAAAAGAATGGCTGCAAGGAAGGAAGACATGTACCAAGCTTTGCAAGGTGGGGTTTATAGATTTTGTGCTGGTTCTAGTGAGTTTGTGAATGTTTTGATGCATTACAAAATACCAATGGCTTTGGTCTCTACTCGTCCAAGAGAAACTCTAGAGGCTGCAATCAGAAAAATTGGAATTGAAGGCTGCTTCAATGCCATTGTGGCAGCAGAGGATGTTTATCGGGGAAAACCCGACCCAGCAATGTTTCTATATGCTGCACAGCTTCTAAAATTTATATCTGAGCGCTGCATTGTCTTTGGGAACTCCAATCAGACTGTTGAGGCTGCCCATGATGCGCGGATGAAGTGTGTGGCTGTTGCAAACAAGCATTGTGTGTACGAGCTTGGGGCTGCAGACCTGGTGGTAAGGCGTTTAGATGAGCTTTCAGTTGTTGATCTAAAGAACCTTGCTGATATAGAGTCAGCTGAATTTGGGTTTGGAGAGCCAAAGTTGGTGATGGAGACAGAGGAGGAAGAAGATAGCCCATCCACCTCAACAGCGGTTGATGACAGTATTTTCTAGTAACCCCCGAAAATTGTACAGATTTAAAATGTGCTTTCTATGATTCTTGATGGTTATTGTTCCATTTATGTGTACAGCAACAGTAGGAACAAAAGGAAGAAGAAAATAATAAGGGTGGTCCGCATTGGACAACCACAAGATTGCCATGGATGTATGGTTTGTATCAAACATGTTTAGAACTTCAAATACCTGTTGATGCTTCTTTCTATTTTAATTCAACATTAACTTGCAAATTGGCCAATTTCTCCATGAGAACTGCTGATAGTGTACAAAAAAATCATCTGCAATTTCTTTACTTCTTTATTTAAAACAAAAAATCCCTATCAATCATTCAGGATCAAACGAATAGTAATTCTGGAGCCCAACTATCAGGGCAGATTGTCAAAGGCTTTAACCTTCACTAACCCAAGTGCAATGGTGGGAAAGTTGCAGCTAGCCATCTACTTGGAGAGCAAAGCAGAGAGCCACAATGTCCTGCCACGTTCCTAATGGAACATTAGCGTTGACTTTTTAGCATATGACTTTTGATTACCGCATCGAATTGTTCAAGTTTGAAGATCGCAAAAGGGCTACGACGCATGGGTCTCTGTCTCTGCCCTCTTTGCTAACGACGTACAATGAATGTGAGCGTGTATTTGCCGCCACAGAAGAGTGGAAGCTACAATCTTTTACAATCAGAAGCAGCCGATTTGTTTTCTCGTGTGACCAAGTAACGTGCACGTAATTACATCTGACACCTACAAAATAATACTTGCTGTGAGTTAAATCATTTGTTCTTCGTAAACGAGTAGTCAATTTGCTATCTCTGCCAATATCTTCTATTATCTGCGCTATCATTGCCCTGCTGCTTTGAATCTTTCCTAGTTTCTGTCTTTTTCTTTTATGGGAGCAGGCAATCTTAATTTCTAACTATTTCATTACTTCAATGCCATGCCACTTTGGTACATGGTTTTTCTAATTATAGTTGATTAATTTCAAGACTTCCCATTCAAATTCGTGACAAGAGTCTTGGTACATTAAGTCTTAATTAAAATCATTCAATTGGGAATTTCAACTTTCTTCATTATCATTAATAATTTTTCTTTTTGAAATAATATTTGAAAAAAAATGTAAAAACTATTTTAAAAATTTTAAATAAATTTTTATTTTTTATTACATTCAATTAAATCTTTATATTTTTATTTCAAATTAAATAAATTCTTACGATTAATGGTTAATTAATTATTTTATATCTATGTAGTACTTATGTAAAAAATTAAAATTTTAAATTAATATGTTATCATATCACATTAATATATCATATTATTTATCATCATGACATATAATATATTACGTCAATACTCTATAACATAAAATAGTGAATGGTATTTTTATTAATAATAGTTGATCAATTATTAGTTATAAAATTTATTTGATTTAAAATTAAATTATAATATTTTAATATAATAAAAAAATTAAAACTTATTTAAATTTTTCTCAATAGTTCAAGAATTTTTTCAATAACATGCTTAATTTTTATTTTAAATTTAAATTAAAAAAATCGTTTAAATTTTAACTATTTGAATATCTTCATAATATATAATTTAACAGTAATTATAACTTATGGTCAAAATTAAAAGTCGTTATTAGTTACCGATTAATCATGCTGTAATCAAATGTCTTTAGTTTCCACCAAACTTTTAAAAGTTTTAAGCGAGCACTTAATTAATCAAAGGCATGATTACGTCTGCGCTTTGGCTTGTTTTATTCCCTTAAAAATTGTCCTAGTTGCAAATTTTGAAACTGCCATCTTTATCTTAAAAAATTGCAGCTGTGATTGTTTTTTAAATTCCACGTGCTTTTCCGAATATTTTCCACTGTTGGTTTTGTACTTTTTAAATCATTTAATTTTGGCTCTTACTTTACATCATGATTCCTAAGTAATTACATTTACTTTTTAATTGCACATTGCATCATCCAATACCTCAAGGTTTCCTGTCTTCTGCTGAATAGAATTATACCTCAAGCTCATTCTTTTGTTGCTAAAAAAAAAATTATTATTTTTTAATAAATAATACGAGAAAAAAATCATAATTTTTTATAAATGAAAAAAATATATATGAAAAAAATCCTTTTGATTTTAACCCAATAGATGGATGATAAGATGATATTTTTCATTTTAAAGATATGTACATCTTATATTAAAAAATAATAATTTACCCTTTTAATCACCCGAAATAAATTCCAAGAGTATAAGTCTATAAATTCTTTCTATATTTGTCTTGTAATGATTTTCGAATGGTTAATTGCAATATTTCTTTTCGGAATATTAGGGGAAAAAAAAGGAAACATATGCGAAATTATATATAAAGTCTTATTTATGAAAAAGGAAAAATAATTCGGGTTAGAGCTGACGCGTCAGCAGCAGAGACAATGGACCATGGAGGAGGAATAAGGTGCGGCAGTATTTAATCAGCCCCCTCCCCCACTCACTCTTCCATAAAAGGCTGAAACCCAAAAGTGAAAAACAGGACTTTCTTTCTTCTTTTATTCGTTTCCACCAAAAAAGTGTTAAGTATCTTTCTTACATTTGCACCTCTCTTTTCCATTTCACTGCGAAATCAGTAAAACTCAGCTCCAAGAACCAAAAACCAAAGAGAAAAAACCCTAGAATTTGATTTGAATCTGTCAAAGGAAAAGGTAATATTACGCCTCATAATTTTTTTTTTTTACTGGGCGTGGATTTGTATATTGACTTCCTTACCACTTAATTACACGTTCACTTCGAAAGGTTTATGTAATTTGTTGCCTTGTTTTCTGCTTTTTATTTTTTGCTTCGATTTGCAGTAATTTTGATATGGAATTGTGTTTTAAATGCTGCATTTGATTTTTTATGTGGTTTTTGTTGTTATGGAATATTGAACTGAGAAATTTTAGTGGTCAGTACTATAGGAGACGAGTTTTAATGGAGAAATTCCATTTCAGTGTTACTAATGGATCATGAATGTAGCTTTTAAGAAGATTACGCGTCTTTAGATAATTATATAAAATATTTAGTTAGAGTTGTAATATATATATCTATATATAACAATACAGATTTATATAATACAAGATTTTCTCTTCATCTAACATGGTATAGAGCCATTCGCAGTTTCACATATTGAATTAGTTCATAATTAGTGGATAATGGGCTGGGTAGTTATTGGAGCTAGGCTTACTGGTTGAATAAGGTTTTTCTTGTGAATATTTGATAATAGCTAATTGTGGTTCTATAACTTGTCACTGAGAGGCTTCAATTGTTTGTTTTCAAGGGACATATCAATGTCACTTTTTTCCAAGGCAGGATCATCATATTGCATCCCTAGTGATATAACATGGGGTAGAACTGGACAGAATGTGGCTTTTGGTTTGGTGAACACTCTTGAGGCTCCTATAATGAAGGAAAAATCTGTCAGTTTTTCTACCTTATTGTGCAACAAGGCCAAGATAGCACGGATCTTCCCTTTAGAAACTGTGGGGTTTGGAAGAAAGAGAAGGACTAGTGTGATTGTTGCAGCAAGCCCTCCCACAGAGGATACTGTGATCGCTACAGAGCCATTGACGAAAGAGGATCTTGTTGCATACCTTGCATCTGGATGTAAGCCTAAGGAAAAATGGAGGTAAAACTTCCCCTTCCTTGTTTTGTTTGGATTAGAGTACTTTCTTCTTTCTCTTTATTCTACTTGAAGATAATAGTTATCATTTTACCATGCATTTGATCCTTGACATGTATTTTAGAATTTCCAAGCTCTTATACCCATGTGTTGCTGTGGTACCTCATTAATGGAAAAAATTGTATACTGTATATTATTGTAAAGTTAATATATTAAAATATAATGTTGACGTTAAATGATAAATAATGAATATTAACATTTTAATATTACGTATTTAAAATTAAATTATTTAGATTCTTTTTTGTTTTTGAATTTTGAACTTTGAAGTAAGTTAATAAATGTTATCAACTTCAATTTTTTTTCTTTTTGTATTTATGTTATAGGCTACAATATTATTTCTAAGATGCAAACAAAATACTTAATATCATCTTTGATTAAATCCTTTTATGATATTGAAATAATCATTAGCTCTTTAAAGGCTATATGATTTAACCAAACTCATAAATTTAATCATCTACAATTTAAAATTAACACTATCAATACTTTAAAAAGTATCCATATAAACTCTCAAAATTGAATTTTTGAACTTTTATTTACTAAATGTTATATACTCGTACACTTATCTTATCAATGATAGAACACATTTTAATGTTATGTTACTTTGAATAGTTAATAATAGTATGTGTTAAAATTATTAAAATAAAAAAAATATAAGATTATTTGTTGGATTGGGCCATTGGATTTGGGGGTTAATGCCTAGTGGTTAAGGAAGAGGATAAATGAGCAGCAACAAAAAAGACAAAAGAAAAAGGAGTTGGGCTTTGACTTTGCCTAACATTCACTAGAAAACCCAAAAAAAAAAAAAAAGGCAATGCAAAGTGAGAAGGCTGGCGGAGATGTGGGGGAGTAAAATGGGAAAATACTGTTGTGGTCACAGTACATTTTTACTCCTCTTTAGCTATATGCTATAATATTGAATTTTGTGCTAGTTTAAATCTTTTAGTTAGCACAATGGTCCCTCATCCTATATCTGTACTTGTTTGCTAATTCAACTATTTGGTTTTCTCAGGATAGGTACAGAGCATGAAAAGTTTGGTTTTGAGTTTAAAACTTTGCGACCTATGAAATATGAACAAATAGCAGAATTGCTTAATGGTATTTCGGAGAGATTTGATTGGGATAAAGTAATGGAAGGTGACAATATTATAGGACTCAAACAGGTAAACTGATTCTCTTTACTTATGATGTTTCATTATGCTACTATTAAATTAATGGCAATGCTTAGCAATTCTATTTAGTAGAGACTACTAGTTCTTATTTTATTTTATTTTTCTAAAATGTTTCTGTATAACAAGCTAGCATCATATTTGTTTTCATGTTGGCTATCTATGGAATTTCTGTGGAACTCTTACTTTTTGTGTGCTAGGGGAAGCAAAGCATATCATTGGAACCTGGAGGGCAGTTTGAGCTCAGCGGTGCACCTCTTGAAACTTTGCATCAAACATGTGCAGAGGTCAATTCACACCTTTATCAGGTCAGTGAAGGAAAAAAAATAAAGGCATATGCATGCAACTGTTTAACTAAGTTCTGCATTCTTAAGAAAGTGCATGCAGAAGTAGCATTCATCAAGAATTCAGTACTATTCATAAGCTCAAGACTTGTGGCCCTAAAGATATGTACTTTGCATGTAACTTTTAAATTACATTGAAAAACTTCTAGTACACTCTATGTCTCCTAATACTTTTGCTATGTAGATGCTTTTCAGAAAGTAACCACTTCTAAAAGTAATTTCTAATGAAGTATTTCTTTTCTTAATTTCTTTGTTCATGCAATCTTTACTTTTCCCAATAAACTTAAAGAGTACACCATGCCTATTACCTTTTACTAGGTTAAAGCTGTTGCAGAAGAAATGGGAATTGGATTCTTAGGGATTGGCTTCCAGCCCAGATGGGGAATTAAGGACATACCTGTTATGCCCAAGGTATAACTGCAATTACTCTTGTGGCTATCAAATTGAATGAAAAATTAGAAAACACAAATTGTCTCATGTATGTAGTCCGAGATTTGTGTTTTCCCCCCTCGTTTCTTTTTTCACCT